GAACGATATCTGCACTATCAGAAACACCTTTTCTCTACTAGCAGACTACACAAAGACTTAAACACCTCTTATTTTACGTTAAACACTAAGTTTCAGAATCCACTTTATATGTCCTATCACGGAACATTTCCACGATAATTTACGATCTATCATAAGTAAGTTACAATCACTATGATTCGAACTGTAAGAAGATGATTTGCATCCCCTACTATAACTATTAATTCAGTATGTGCATATGTGCCACTGTCATAAAAATTCAATGCTATATTAAAACGCAGCATATCCAAATCAGAAGTTAACTAAATAAGGATAGGCTAACAGAATTATCCTAACATAGATATTTCTACTTTAATACAGTATATAACTTTGTCACAGTGTGCCGTTACTGAATATGTCTTACATGTTCACTGTAACTACTTACTTTCGATAAAGATGCCTTCATTCTTCTTGTAAATAATGTAAATAAATACTAGAGTTATCTTTACAATATCAAAAATCGTACGATAGCGATAACTAAACTATTTCCTTCCGGTAAAATGTAAGATCACGTAGATTACCCTATACTTCAAGCATTGTGTTAAATTTCCTAAAGAATTTCATTAATCCCAATAGGAATTAAGTCCTTATTGGTAATTTCAAATTTAGGAATTTTGGTAAATTTTACACCAAATACAGAAAAATTTACAGAATTAGCATAAATGCAATAACATGTCTTAGTTGGAACAAGCAAATCTTTAGTTTTAAAATTTAACTCCAATCCTGACTATATTCTCAGAATAAAGCTTTCGTAATAGATATAAAGTATGCTTATTTTAATAGCTTAGAAATCGAACGAAATTATATAATCGAATCAAAGTGATTCCGATTTCAGTATTGATTATTTTGAGAAATATAGCATGATCGGTATTATTCGATTTCATCATTATTTGAATTTTCGATGTTAGAATTTATGATTATTTGTTTTATATTTAATAAAGATTTAAACTGATTACTATATATACAAGCTGAGATTTACTGCAAGATTGAAATAGTTTATGTTTACTATAAAAGACATCAAATACTATACGCGTACATAAAATTATTTTCAAATGACAATATTACGTTCTTGCCAGCATCTTTGAAACTATACCATATCCATCTACGTAATGTAAAATAAATCTTATTAATTATTAAGGGCAATAGCGTTAGTAGAATTGATTGTTTATCATCTAAGATATTGTGCAGTTTTAATGATGTGATATATCCAATTCGATTCTGCCCGCTAAATTTATATTGAGAATTAATCATACTTTAGAGGTGAGTGAACAAATAACTTTTATTAGTGTCGGAAATTGTTATTTGTAACGTATGCAAAGAAACATTACGACTATGGCCAAATAAATTAAGTTAAACCCTTTGGATGACTTAGTCATATAAAGAAAATATTTATAGAATCAGAGTTTACAAATTCTGATTTTTTTAAATTTGTGTTACATAAAGATTTACAGTGAGTAAGAACAAGTATTTCTAATATTTTTGTAATCTGGTATTACTATTCTCCTGTTTATTAGTATAAAGCTTTAATGATGCTCACCCAATGTATGATATGATAATAATGGAATTCACAATTCTAAATGATAAAATAATTTTTATGATTAATGTTTACTCAATCTACCTAATATAAAATAGCCTTTCATTGACAATACTATTACTAAAACCTTACCCGATGCCCTAATTTTAACATTTACTTACCATTAGTAACACCAAAAGAATACTCTAGGCTTTATAAGCATTCATGTTGCTGTCTAGCTCAGTAATAGCTACATTCCAATGGATGGTTACATAGTGCCAAGCTAAGGCGCATTTTCCCAAGGATGCAAAATAGCAAAGAAATCCTTCGTTCAAACCTCTCAACATGAAGTAAGTGCATGCTGAGAATTACAGTAAGCCTCAGCATGAATCGAAGTTAGGATTTGCACACATATGATTATTTGTTTGATATGATAAATATTATAACAATATTTTCATTAAGAAGTCCAAAATATAATAAAAATATTAAAGCATGTCACGTATTACCTCGTGAATCGGAAGTAAATTATCCAAAAAGATTCCGATTTCATATATGCGCCAATCTAGAAAATTAAAGCTATCGATATCATCCATCTTTCTCAATTTCTAGCTTATATCATATAACGCGTTTAATTAAATATCCGAAGCAATGCTCTTTCCTTATATTTGAAATTTGTTAATTTTTAACGTTATATGTTATCATCAAATAAGTGAAAGCAAAAATTTTTCTTGAGAAATAAGTTTCGACAGGCTGAAACAGATTTACAGCCTTAATTTAATTCAAGTAATCAGGTACCTCACTCATTATTTAGTATAGTGCTGATATTCTCTGATAACTAATTAAGCTAAGATGATAAGATAACATCAAAATTTATGATAAAATTCAACATTTTGGACTTTTGTATATCAAACCATCTGTAGCAATTTTGTCTAAAAGTAGCATCAAGTGGGGGAATTGAGAGATTCAAAACATACTATATGCGAATCTACTTCTATTTGATAACTTAATAGAATCGTTAGATTAATAATCATTTTTAATAAGTATTTATATTTGATTATAATTGAATGGCGAATGAAACATAGTGTTTACTTTAAGTAAAATTTTCATTTAGCTCTTCAATTAATTTAAAATTACGTAGGAATTTAACATGCGGGCTGCACTACATCGATATTATTTGAAACTTATATTCCAAATTAAAGTTTATTGATATGTAAATACTCGTTTTGAAAAAAAATGAGACGGAATCACTTACATTTTACATTAATTTGTAGTCCTGGGTTGTGTTAAAATCAGATCACGGAAATTCCAAAGTTGCAGAAAAAAGAACTTTATGAGACCTAATGCAAAGTCTAGCTGTCCACAGCTCTATTCTAACCGAATGCAACTAATGAAATAGTTCTAAAAAGAATAATCAATTAATCTAACGTCTCCTGCTTTTATACTTTCCGTAGCCTTCGTAGCTACAATCAACGTAGCAGCATTCTACCTTATTTTACATATATTCAGCTTATTATTTGTCATAATATTTTACAGCGAACCATCGTTAATCCAATACGGAAATGATCACAGCATTTTCGCAGACATTATTCCTACCACTCGAAGTGCAATGAACTAAGAATATCGTAATATATGATTTACAATTCTATTTTTAGCTCTAACATTATTAGTAGCTCAACATTTTACTGTACATAGTCATCTGCACTCTAGCATGGAGTATATCCGTACAGTCTATAATTATGGGCTACTAAATATATATATCATACCATAAATATAGAAAAGACACTACCGTATATCATACTAAACATGGCTGATAGTATACAATCACAATACTAATACTTTACATGGGTGTAATTAGCTTTTTCATGCTAGGGATGGTTGAATTGAGACTAATATTAGTTAATGCATTCGACATGGTGTATTGATCAAGAAAATTAGTTAAAACATTATAAAAAAAAATTCTGTAAATGCTTACAGTGTTATTAATTAATTATTATTAATCGAAGTAATAAATGAATTGTGTATCATGTGCAGCTATATTTATATAAATATATAATTGGCAATACGAACAAAAACGCTGTGAAGTACTCGGATATTGTAAATTTGCTATAAAGCAATTTATAGTAAATAGTTGCAATCATCTATAACTAGAATATCGACGATAGGATTACATTAATATTTCAAATTAAATCTTAACATCTAAGTACTTACAGTCTCTTATCGCTTGAATTATAATTATTACAGAATATTCTATTCTAATTTCCTTTAATAATATAATATTGGTATTATATGTATTCACATATTTTAAAAGAGATTAATATTATCGATGTTCTTAAGAAGGATTCAAAGTTATCCCACATTTATGATATCAATTGTTACACTTTTCACGGCATGCTTATTATCTACGGTCATTAAGCAATCACGATTAGAATTGCTTTGGCAATCATATTTAACTTTAAACGAATTTTCCTGGTCAGTACTTATGTACTTGATCTGATACTGAATCGAAGATAGGCACTGATAGGCAAGACTGGGTGGACGCCAAAATAATTGTACATGTGTACAGTTGCTTTTAACTCGAATATTCGTCGCTGCAGGCGCGTTCTCTACGAAGTAAAGTGTAAAACCTTCTAAGACAAGTTATGCCATTAAAATGAAACTAAGCTATTTATTGTTAACATCCGATATCTACTAATCTGTAGACTTTTCCTAACTTACTTAATTGACTGCAATCTATTTTTTGCTTTCCCGTCGTGAAGTACGTTTGACTTGGAATAGTAGTTTGAGGAGTAGGCAGTGTTGTCGGCTTTGCTTGACTTGTATGGAGACTATCGATCTTAAATTGTTGTAGTGTACTGTTGTCGCTGACTTTATTATCATATTTCATCGCACTTGCAAGCCAATGATATGTAGTATCCAATTGCAATTCGTCAAATTTAAGGAATAAATTTCTTACGTCCCTAATGAACTATGTTAACGTCCAATTAGAATTAGATTAAAATCTACTTCTACATCTGCTAATCCGTCAGATTGGCAAGTAAATCTGCATGATCATATTTTTAGTAAATTATCAGCCAGATTATTTTTTTATATCTTTCAGAGATTATAGTATGGTGTTAAGGTAGGAATTGGAAACTTGGAATATGAAAAGATGCTATCATAATTTGTGCAATTTTATAATGGAATTAAATATATATGTATGCACAAAAATAGGTATCTCCTAACAATTACTACATTTATAGTATTATTACTTGAAAGGTTCTTCCTGATTTATTTCCTTCAGATAAAAAGAAGTGATAATGGTAGCTTGCACCATAATAGCATCGATCATGTTGATAGCAGGTTAATTTTACTGTTTCCTTCTTATAGTCAATAAGACTTCGACATTCTTTAGGTGGAGCTGGTTCATCTATAAAATAGAATAAAATTTACTGCTACCTAAAATAGAATGACATCACATATGATCTAATTTATATGGCTTACACAGCATATTTGGCCAAGTTCTGTAAAATGCGCTAGTGGAGTGGTGGCGATTGTCGATTGTGCTTGCCAATACTTGATAGACTAAGGTAGAGCCTATTTTCCTTCCATCAAGAGTAATCTGGCATTGGGTATGAGAAGTTTTATTGCAGGCATATTTCCAATCAGTATTGCCACTAGCAGAATAAATTCTATAGTATATGCCATATTGAAGGAAGGGTTGGCAACTCGAATCTACAGCTGGTGGATCCCATGTAAATGTGATGCGAGTGCAATCAATTTTAACTTTCAGGTTTTTAGCAGCTTCTAAATTGTCTAAAGAAATAATGGATTATATTATTAAAGACGGAAAGTTTAATTCATTTATGGAATAAACATAATAAAATATGTGGCATTTGATAAGCCAAAACATTTGCTCTTCAACTTTTCAACATTATCTTGTGCGAAAGAGTGCTAATTGAATATTTCGAACAATATAACATAACATTTCAAAAGACACTGGAGTGGTTTATTAATATCATTTTTATTTGTGATTAACATTAAATTTGCTAGAAGTAAGACGAAATGTTAGCATGAGCATACCTACCTTCAATGTAGTAAATTTGTTTACATAAATAAAGGGTAGCAAATCGTTCTAAATATATTTCATAGGGTAAAATGAAATGTTATCTAAAGGATTAGAGTTACTAATGCTATCTTCATCGTAAACATTCTAGATATTATATTTACCTACGGAATATTAATTTAAGGATTTTAATCAACTTAATATAAAACTATGTTAAAAAAAATATTGAATGAATTTCTTGTGACGTATTTGAATATGCAATCTGCTAGAATAAGCATTCAGTGAAATACGTATTCGTAAACAGTTTTGTGAATCCTAATACCGCTTTCAGTTGCTAAACGAAATTATTTCTTAACAATTAAGTTATAAGTAAAGCTATTTGTTATAAAAAATCAACTGATTATTCTGTAATACCACTTTAAGTCTGCAATTTGAGTACGCATACTAATGCATATTATTAGACTAAAAAATTACTTACATGTTTGAGCAGTATTCTTATCAGTAATAGTTATCATGTTCTAGTATACACAGTAAAAGGCGCAATCTACATTTACTGTAAACTAAAGTCATTACTAAAAAATAATTTCACATCGCAATGCAATGAATTCGCCAAATATCATGTATTTTAAATCAGTAAAATATGGGCTAAAAAATGATGTCATAGGATTGACCAACTCTCGAGTTTGACCGAAATATATGTGCAGTATGTGAATAATAGCAACAATGCCGACTTGTATTGTCTTTATATACATAAGTATGCACGCATGCATGCTACAGCTAAAGCTGGAAACCCCTTTCTTATTCCTCTATAAATAGTTTAAAGACATATACGTATATGCGTAAAATAATATTTATCCATTTTGAAATTTCGGTTTCGCTCAAACAGCTTGTTGTCAAATCGCACGTGAGTGTTAAATGCTAATTATTGACATAAATCTTCATTAAGTTAAAGCTCGAAATAAGAGAAAAATTTTTAAAGTTTTGGTTTGCTTGCCTAATTTTTTACTGCAATGCGAGCGAGGTACATCTTTTGTAGCCACTGTAGTTGGAACTTCAGTCGTTGCCATCGAAGAATGTAAAGAAAAATTGAATTGAGGAGTGAAATTGCTTTCGCGATTGCTGTAGGTCTTACTACTAGCATACCAATAATAATTTACTTTGGCATTTAATTGAGAAAATTGAATCACTTTAGTTCTTTTGCCATTCAGCGAAAACTGTTATAGAAAAAGAAACATTTATTATTATAATTTAGAAGTCGGCATTGCTCTTACACAGTTTCATAGTTAATGAGCGTTAAACTTTTAAATCTGTCTTTCGTCAGATGTAAGATAGTCGCCAATTTCAATTTAAGTATCTATGTATGATATCGATAATTCATAAGAAGCCTACTTTTTGTATTTGAGTATTGGAATCTCTTCTACCCAAGTAGAAGTAGTAGGAATAACTGGATCCATAATAACATCGATTATGCTTACTACAAGTCAATGTAACTGATTTCTGATTCAAATCGATGATTGTTTGGCAGTTTTGAGGTGGTATGGGCATAACTAAAGTATTAGAATAGGCCAATTATGCATTTTTTTATTCTATAATTCGCACTTTTATAGATATTGTAAAGAATTTAAGGCTAAGTTGATGTAGATTTTGTATACATTTCAATTTTGTTACTGAATAATACGCATAAATTTATAACATGATACACTCAAGTAAGATTTTTTAGCCGAATTATAAGCTAACATGTCATCGATGGCCACGATCGATAATAAGGACTTGATGAATTTAAACGGTGATTGAAGGCTTGATTTGTCATCTTTGCCATCACTTTATAAATAATGGTAACTCCAATCAATCTGCCATCCAGTTGAATGGTGCATTCTAGCTGGGAAGTATCCTGGCAGGCAAATTTCAAGTCAGAATCACCGCTACTTGAATATACCTTGTAGTAAATTTGATAGCGAATGAACTTTAAGCAATCCGCATCGATGGCTGGTGGATTCCAATCAATTTTAAATTTGTTACATTTGGTCGTAGATTTTACGAAAGTTACAGAAGGCAGGATTGCTATTATAATTTATATTTGGTAATGAAACACTTTGAGTTTAAGTTAACTATGTTAAAAATTACTTACTATGAATAATCATTCAAATTAAGAAAGCTTATAAAGCTAAAAGATTCAACAACTTTATCAAAGATTATACTATATACCGATATTATTGCAATGAGATTCTGCCAGAGGTAAACTTTTGCCTATTTTGTTTAAATACATGGGAATAACAAATTAGCAAAAAAGGCAAAATTCAGATGAATACTGTCGTTCAAATCAAGACAAATAAGGCATCGGTAAACAATACATTTTATCAAATTGTCAAGAAAATTACCGACTAAACTAGCAAATGTATTCCATGGTTTTATATATTTGTGATAAAGAAATCTCTCATTAATTGAAAGACTACATTTACCAAAAGATCAAATGGAATTGTATTTAGTGAACACTAGTAAAACAAACTATATTCATGAAGAGAGGTTAATTGCTCTTACGATGATCTTACTTATAATATGCAATTTTTTTTCATCGTTTAAATTCGATTTATAAGAAATTTCGAATTTTCTCCAAAATTTCTCACTTTATCAGCACGAAGTACAAGAATTTCCATTGATATCATATTTACGCTAATAAGAAATTCTATACAGAGTATTGGCATTAACGCCTACTTTTTGAAAATAAGTATCATAGCCCTGAGCACTACATAGAACTATAAATAACTTAGAATCACCTAATATAAGGCCGAATAGAGTACATAAAGGCAATAACCTCATTCCAACCATTGTAATATTCAATATAACACACGGAGTAAGATCACAAAAAGGATCGCAATTTGGATAAAGCCAAGGAGCTTCAGTAAGTTGTGATCGCTACGCCTGTGGCTATTTTGCTGTAAGTCTTCGATATTCAATATGGCTAACAGCTTCTGATCCACGTATTGTATGATACTTTATTGAGATTTGTTTACTTTCTAAACATCGAACTCTTCACTCATCGCTTTTTCCTGTAAATTTCGCAATAGTTTAGGTCGTAGAGACTTAATGAATAAATTAACGAAATAATATTTATATATGGAGATTAAAATTAGTTACTGATAGTAGAATCACTAAAGTTATAATGTGTTACAGTAAATTATATATGGTACTGTAATGCAATTCTTATATAGTAATTAAATACAGTTATGATCAATACTAGAATGTAGGTGTATTGAAATGACTCTTTGAATGGACATACTGTATAATTAAAACTGATTCAACAGAAAACATGTACTGGGGAAAGCATTATTACCGGAGAACACACTATTAACTTATTATTTCAAATTTGCTCTATTATGACAAGTTCCAATTCAAAATTACATTATAAAATTTGGCAAATTTGGTTTGCTCGAAATGAAAATTTCTAGTAACAGATGGTTAGCTTTTCTTATAAAATTCTGAATTATGACATTGTATTTGGCTTTACACCCATTTAACGATTTTAATATTGCGGTGCTTTATAATGTAGTCACTGGTTGGTTGAGGCGGTTGGTAGGGATCCATAGCCGAGAAATCAGTATGATTTCTTAACACTAGCTAAAAATCAAAGAAAATCGAAGTGAAATGAAGGAATTTAAATGAAATGAATTTATGGCTATCGAAATATTATCCTCAGCTTTTTTCTGACTGAATCGAAAGAGTGTAAAATCTGAAGAATTCCTAAAAATTATAGGATTATTTCTACTTACCTCATGTTACAGTGTTAAATACTGCATTACAGTAGAAATAACTATGTTAGGATAATTATGTTAGACTATCCTTATTTACTTAACTTCTAATTTGGATATACTGTGTTTTAATATAGCACTGACTTTTTATGACAGTGACACTTATACACATACTGAAATTAATAGTTATAATAGGGAATGCAAATCATCTGCTTATAGTTCGAATCATTGTGATTGTAATTTACTTATGGTAGACTGTAAATTATCATGGAAATGTTCCGTAATAGGACATATCGTAATCTGACTATTCTGTATTAGTCATTACATGTCTATGTTCGTAAATACTGTTGTCTGCATTAAGGGAGCAGTAGCTAAAATTAATATCTAATTCAGTAAATGATTCCAATGTTAATTGTATTAACTATGACTTATGAACTATTGAGGAATAGTATATAAATGCAGTATATCGTGAAATAAAGAAAATTCTCCAACTTAGTGTTTAACGTAAAATACGAGGCGTTTAAGCCTTCGTGTAGTCTGCTAGTAGAGCAAAAGTGTTTGTGATAGTGCAGATATCGTTCCTTGATACGTGGTTCAAGGAATTGACTTATTGATCGTATATTGCGTTATCTTATTGCAAAGCTGTTTTGTGACACCTCATAATTACTTTAGTAAGGCCTTTTTCAATTTGCGATTCTGAAAGTATTCAGTAACTGCGAGCTATGGAAAATATACAACATTGTAATAAAAATTGTTTTGTTGATATATTTAGGCACAAGGTAATTAAGAGTTACAGCTACATCGTATATATAAATTTCAGTGAACGCAAGCTATATCTTGCTATAAAATTTTCTTGATATCGCCTAAGTAGAATTACTCATATTGGTCAGTCAAGTTTGCAGTTTACTGAATGTATTTCATATTGCTAGAAATCGCCTCGCTGTATTATTTAAGAAAGTACTTTGGGAAATAGAACTAATACGTGATTACTAAAGACGAGCTAAATGATACGATTTAGAATCAAATGATTCTATGATATATTATCTTATTCTTAAATCAAGATTATTATTCATCTGTGTACATAGTTTTGTTAAGCTAGAAATAATAGAAACTAATGGCTTTCTGAATCTACGTTTTGATTTTACTTTAATGTTTTATCTGTACTAGAAGTCTCAGCTATAAAAATGAAAAATATGACGTTCTATTCCAATAAAAGGAAGACTTCATTAACGAAATAATCTGACATTTTTTGCATATTAAGTGGCCTTTTTTCAATTAAACTGCTCTTTTAATATAAAAAAATGACATTATAGACAGGAATATAATATAAGCTACAACTGAATAGGGAAAGCCAATCGTAAAGGATCTATTCCATTGCTGTCGATATCAAGAATATTTTACCATTATTAAAAGAACGCACTCTGTTTCAGTTCAGTTGTCAAAAATAATATGTTTAAATCCGTTGTTATTGCAAGTGTTGAAAGTATTGTGGGTGAAAAGTCTATATTATATTAAAATTTCAATAAGAGATCAATAATTTAGAACACACTGATATCAATTTTAAGTCTTTCTAGTAAGAATTAGGATAGCTGCAGTATTCGAACCTTTTAGCTGAATACATTCTATGCGTATAGATAAATGTACACAAATGCAGCATGTCTAAATGTTTGAATACTACTTTCGTATGCACCGTTGATCTTTCAGGAACTAAAATTATCTATAGATGCAACGCTAAAATGTGCCTTGAAGTTACAGGTAATGCAAGATTCTTCGGAATCATAATGATGATTTTAATACTAACTTTGACTGATGTGCCAAATGCATGAAAAAAAAAAATTAAACATACGCATATAGCCGGGATCTAAAGTCTTTAAAGACATGGCTTCCTTTATAAATATAATCTATAGTAATTGTAACATTTTTAGCCATTACAGGTATATTTTCTATAGATTTTAGCACAACAAGCTTTGATAGATAGGGAAGAACTTCTCACAGCAGCGGATCTTGAAAGATAATAACTAAGAACAGTAATAAAAGAAGGAAAATATGGCTGCTTTAAATACGCTAAATAACTTGTTTACCACCTAAAGATTGGAAAAAAAAAATCACTTAATACTCAAGAGTGTCGAGTATGGTAACGAGATTCTTAGATTAGTAGTATATTCTACCGAACTGAAATCGAGCTACTGGAATTATAAAAAACATTGCTAATATATACCTATTATTGTCAACGTTCCTAGATTTGATATTATTTTAAAGCTACATCTAATCTATTTCTGCGCCACATTTTGACAAAATAGCTTATCTAACAGTTTCACCACAAAAGTAAAAATTTAGAAATCAGTTTTACTGGTTTTTTAGTTAATTTCTTGAGATGGCCTGGAAGTTGAAATTTTATTTATACCGTAGACGTTTATAAATAAGTTCTATTGCACAATATTTATATCAGTCAGATGCTATTTAGAAAAATTAGTTAAATTTTAAATTAATTATAGTAAAAGTATCAAAACTGTTCTATCTAATAATAAATCTAATTCTCTTAAATAATTATCTAAACTGAGATGGAATTAGAAAGCCTCCGATACAAGATTTTAGAATAGTAGTGCAGCAATTAACTAATGGCAAGAGTTTAAATTTATGCCTTTTGCGCTCAGAGTGAAGAAAAGTTCCTATTTGCAGCTCTTAAACATATGCGGGTACATTCAAGTTAAATATTCTTACAACAAAAAAGAACCCTACCGTCAAACTTGATTTTTCAAAAATTAAAACAGTTATTCTCAAATGTTGAACCTAAATATTTTACCGTGTGATTTCATATGCTTAAGATGTACTTACTCTTCTATCAACTTCCAACATCGAACGGTATTGTGCATCTTTACTACTGCAATATATTAATTCATATAGACCTAGTCCTTAGTTAATTAACTACTAGCAGTTGAAATCTACAATATCTAATGTCAGCAATCATGATTAACGATTTCTAATATTAGCAATACAATACGATCCATTCGTTATTAGCAGCCTAACTATATCAAATATTACGATGAACATAAATCAAATATGATGAACCACTATACAATTCGCAATTGTCATTAGTGCCAAATGCATTTATTCAAGTATGTAATGAACATGCATTGGCTATAGTAGTGAAATATTGCTGAAAAAATTCCTTTGCTTAGCTTTCTTAGGAATGATATCCTATAGCCTTTGTTAGTTTGTAAGTTCAGGAGTATTTTAACTTATGTATAAATAATAATTATGATTAGAAATTTAGTATCGCTCCTTATGAATTAACATTGGTATCGTACCTGTTTGCTTAAAAATATTATTTATTACAAATAATTCAGGTTGGTACAATAAAACCTAATTCTGTAACATGAAAGTATTCCTGGAATCTTATTAAATTCTGTTAAATTAGAGTATGAATAATTTAAGTTGCTCTGAAGATTCATTTCAAGAATAAATTAGATTTATACGAAACACTTATTCAATTCCTGATAGCTACCGTCATATACTTTATTTATTTTGCCCTATTATCTACCTACTTGTTACAGTGTTGCCTTGTCATTAGGATAGATTTAAGTGCAGTAGTAGCTAGTATGGAGAATATCCGTATTTGTAGTGCTAGGTAAGATAAGTAATGCCTTAACGTGGATATTGTTTGTAACAGTTCATTACATATTTGATACTGATTGTTGTGTGATAGATAGCAGTGAGATGATTCAAGTTCTACTTGATGATAGTTGAATTAGACAACCTACGAGCTTAGATTAAGATTAAGTATGAGTAAGAGATTCAAAATATTTACTGATAGAAAAGCTATGTAAGGAACATCTCAGTTCGAGATGTTTCTCCTAGTAAGGTATAACAATAATACTGTTGTTGTTTACAAATTAGACGGTTCCTATATAAACGGGAACATTTGAGTTCAGTGGTGGTAAAAAGTTGTAGATGTACAGTATCTTTGCTAATAAAAGTTCCATTTTTACAGTCTTTTACTGCGTGTGTTTAAAGTTAAGTAAAAGGGTGTTTAAGTCAGCATCTACAAATAGGCTTTTACTGTACGTTACCTTGTCGCAGAAGTGAAATTGTGACAGTACTATCATGCTATAATAACGCAATCAGTTCGCAAAAGCAAACCCTAATTGGAAAATGTTAAAAACAAGCCAATAAAATTCATCATTGTTGATGTAGTAATTACAACATTTAGGGCTAAAAGCCCAAGGTTGAATGTAAACGTTTATATCCTGATATAATTATCTCTACTTATGGTTTATAGAAACACATAAAAGAATTAAATTGGGATATCTAAATGATAACTAAGATTTTATTTTAATGCAAAGTAATAATTCCCCTTGAAACAGACGAATTCTTGCCTGATAGTTTGCCAAAAAATTAGATAAAAGATGGCGGCATACCGGAACATTTTATTTTCTAACTACTATTTCAATTAGGCACTTTTTATGCCTTTATTGGATGCTTCCATCCCTTTCCGTTAAAACCACAGATAAAGATCAAAAATGTTCACTCATTAACTTCAAAGTTAAGGAAAGGTTATAAAAGAAAATTATTTCTTAGGTGATCTAATGAATGATCAGCTTTATCCAACATCAAAATAGAACATCTGTTCTTGTAATTTAATTTACTGTTATGAATGCATTCCACTTTACCCTTATGACAGTATACTATAGCACCTGATTTCTGTTCCCAGCAAATTGAGCATAAAAACTTGTTAAATGATACAATTTGGATATAATAGAGAGCCATCAGCTGTCAACGTAACACCGCTTCTAATAATTAGCAAGGCTTCAATTTTACATGTAAGCATTAACTATTAGTCAATATGAATAAATCTACTAAACTGATTATCTAAGCTTCAACTTACATTTTTAAAAGTGTAACTTCTTTGCTGAAACTTGTTATGATCGCGCAAGAATTGTTTTGCTGATATCAGTATTATTGTGGTCTGGCTTCCAGACCAATAAATTTGATTGACTGATAACTGAAATGATTGAAAGCTGTTCCTATCACGTTGAAAAGCGGCTACATCTCTATTCTTTCACATGAATTCTATTTATTTGGTATATTGCTACCGAGATCTTTCTACAAAGTAATAATGGTAATATATCGTATGTCTGTATAGCAATTTAACTTTTTATATACTTGTATAATAACTAATTTAAAGAACTATTTATCCATCTATAGAGTAGTATACTCGTGTATAAGTTTATAGATAGAATTTAAACAGCACATTTGAACTTAGTGCTTGGCGTTAATTATATAGTAATAGTAGCTAGGCTTAGATACTGTAATGTCTAAAGCACTATACTGCGATGCGATGGTTAGGTAAGGAATTGAAAGTCATGCGCTTTCTAACTATTATAATACGTAGCTGTTTACAAAATCCGGCTTATTAAAATGTAAATGAAAATTTCACCGCCACTCATTTAAAGATCCTGATCCTACGTATGATAAAGTTCAAGATTAAAATGACACTTTAGATTATTGTTTAAAACTAATTTAAAGCAAATATCGAGCAGCAAATACTATACATATTAAACGATTGATTTTCATCTATAATAGAAGCTAGCTATAGATAAAGTTAAGATTAAAAGATATTCTAAAATTATAATTTACTAAATCACCATAAAAGGTATATACACTTTCATAAAATTAATTGAATATAAAATATCGAGCAGTAAGTACTGCTCATATTTGATGATTTGTTTATATCTATATCTTCACTTCGGATCTCATTTTGCAAGAGTAATATTTACTTTCAATCTATTGTTAGCATACAACAATTTTTATTTTTTAACCGACATTTTTCCTCTCTGTGTAGCAGCTACTGATTATGCAACGAACAGTAAGCAGTTACTTATCACAAATAATTAATTGGACTCGAAAATATAAACTCATCCAAAGGGTTAGATTTTGAAACGTACAGCACTTCATTTCTCAAGGAGTTTCTCAATATAGATCACAGTCAAGAGTTAAAGACAATTTTGTATTAATTTCTTTGACTTGAATTGAGCTTTGTTGCCAATTTTTAACATCCAATACACTTGCAAAATATTTAAAATCTTCGTAAATTGTTAACGCTTTCCAATTACGATATTACTATTAAGTAAATTCTATAAAATAATGCCAATATTTGTCGTCTAATCACAATTTTTAACTGATATACTAATAGCTAAAATATGACTACATTTCCTAATTTAGGTGTATTAAAGTTATTGTCACAAAACAGCTTTGCAACAAGATAACGCAATATACGATCAATAAGTCAATTCCTTGAACTACGTATCAAGGAACGATATCTGCACTATCACAAACACTTTTGCTCTACTAGCAGACTACACAAAGACTTAAACGCCTCGTATTTTACGTTAAACACTAAGTTGGACAATTCTCTTTATTTCACGATATACTGCATTTATATACTACTCCTCAATAGCTCATAAGTCATAGTTAATACAATTAACATTAGAATCATTTACTGAATTCGATATTAATTTTAGCTACTGCTCCCTTAATGCAGACAACAGTATTTACGAACATAGACATGTAATGACTAATACAGAATAGTCAGATTACGATATGTCCTATCACGGAACATTTCCATGATAATTTACAGTCTACCATAAGTAAATTACAATCACAATGATTCGAACTATAAGTAGATGATTTGCATTCCCTATTATAATTATTAATTTCAGTATGTGTATAAGTGTCACTGTCATAAAAAGTCAGTGCTATATTAAAACACAGTGTATCCAAATTAGAAGTTAACTAAATAAGAATAGTCTAACATAATTATCCTAACATAGATATTTCTACTCTAATACAGTATTTAACACTGTAACAGTTACCAATAGCTATCGTCTTTGTTCTTTCGATGTTTGTGCTTAAAAACTCTGAATTACATCGCTTGCACAAACTTAAACATTTTGATAGGTCAAGTTAATATTTACTCGTACAGAGTAAAGTAAGATTCAAAGTTCCGTTCGAAATGTTTATTAATTAGTCAATTCACAGAAGTTTCAACTTTTTACAGTACATTATAACAAATTCTAAGGATGTGTAGCTATTACGTTAGCATTTTACTTATGGATCGATGAAATCGAATGTGTAATTTGGCGATAATACCTTAAAAGTGTTACTGTAATAAATGCTAAATAATTTGTTGCCTATCATACTTTTACTCGAGACTTTTCACCTTGAGTTTGCTGCAGCAATTCTTAAATTATCAAGAACGCGTAGCAAATTAAAAGTCTTAATAGAATCGATTGGGTTCTTTCGTTTCTTGAGTAGCCTTTACTCTGCGTACCTCTACTATTGCCTAATTAAGCACATAGAATAGGATGCGTTGTAATGGTAATTTCCTTACTGATCGGTTCCATATCTCTGCTACAAGACCAAGTCAAAGAAGGATGAAGATTAGCGTCAACAAATAAGCCATTCATTTCCATATTTTTGGCGGTGATTTCTTTTACGTTTACTTCTGATTGAGGAGATTTTTCACGTAACGTTTCTTTCAATTGATTCTTTATTATTGTATCTTCTGACTTTATTGATGAAGTGTAATTTTCAACCGATTCTTCGTCTACGCTCGAATTGCTAGATTTCAATTCTTCATCTACGTTGTCCCATTCGTTACTCACTATTTCAGAATCAGCTCTTCCAAGCGACCAACAGAAAGATGAATAAGTTACAGTTTCCTTAATAGCGCTGATTTGTTCCTCTACGTTTTGCTCCGGTTGATCATGATCATTAGGTAATGATGCTGCTAATTGATTCCCTTTGCTCAGATCTTCTTGAGTACTAGTTTCTGGGAATGAATGGTCATTATGATCTATGCTTGATTTGTGTCCTGTAACTATTTCTTCTATATGACTGCAAACACTGGTGTTTCTATTGGACTTGATAACCATTTTAAGAGGTGGGTTTGTAGTATTATTTTGATGGATGGTAGGTAGACTAGTTTGAATATTATTTTGCAATTCGCTCCATGTTGAAACATTTCGAGCACTACGATTTATAGAATATCGATTCGGTGTACGAGGACTACTCCTACTGGAATTGATACCTTCGATTTGATCGCTGTTTTCTGAATTATTGTCGGGATTGTTAGAAGTACTGGAAACTTCTCTTAACAACATCCCTATCTCAGCGTATGCTGATTCTGGATCATCTACGGTGACTTGAGTTAATGTATAATTTATTTCATTACTTGATGAGACAGTAGGTTTAGGTTTTGCCTTCTTCTTATGTAACCATTTGAAGTAGCTTATAATGACCAAGACTGCAATAATGATTGCAGTGATGGCTACCAATATATATGGTATTAGGATTGATATAGAATGCTGCGGTTCTATTGAAATGAAAAATAATGCAACAATTACTTTAGTTATTGTAGCTTTATCTTTATTTAATCATTAAAATGATTCGATATCCTTAATGATATTTATCCTTGTCTGGAAAGCAATGTATTATAAATAGTTTACAACTAGTTCAGTGTAATATTTCGATACCTGTCGAGCCAGAAGAAAGCAATAGCTGAGTAACAGTTGATTCATCAGAAGTAAATAAGTTCTCTTTAGTTATAGGAGTAGTTGCTAGTCCTTCGTTAACTTTCACCGTAGATTTTGGTGTAAGCTTCCATGTATCTACTATTTTATTATCCTTCAAATAAGTTGAGGAGGGTGAAGGAGCTGTAGGGGTTAAAGTTGCAGTATTCTGTATAGCCATACTAGTAGGATTTTGGAAATTACGGTCAATAATCGATGTAGTAGTATCTCCATGAACTTGATGAGTTATCCAAGTAGTTGTCGATAACGTTGTAGCATCATTATTGTCTGCATTGTCAATTTTTGTAGACGAAGGGCTACTTTTAGGGATTGATATTGAAGATAAACTCATCGTAGGCTTGTTTGAATTTAGACTTGCTTGAACTGGCTGAATACTAAAATTAAACTTACTCGTATTTGCACTTTTAATATTATACTCTGACTCTGCATTGGCAAACCAAAAGTACTTTTGATTCTTAGAAAAGGGGTTGAGATGACATTGAATGCTTCCACTATGAACATTCTAAGGAGCAACATAGATACAAAAGCAATATTCAGCAAGTTTAGAGCCGCTAAAGGGTAATGGAATAATTTGCAGCTGAATGCCTTTTACAAAAATGAGACATGGTACTTTCATGTATTGATAGGAAATATAAATGGTTATCTGTTCAAGAATGCTTATTGCATCAAGCAGATCCGGATTTGATTATGTGCTACTTATAAGCCACAGTAAATGTAAATAATTATCTGCACAGAAATTTTTATTGTATCGAACTGATCTGGGTATTATTAATTAAGGTAGTTTAATATTCATGTTAATTTAAGTTACCTTCTGTAATAATTTGACCTCATTATTCACCATCAGGTAAAAGTTATAGGTATAATCGATTAAGTAATAGCATGATTTCCTTTTCTGGCAAGTAAATTGGATAGCTTTTCTCCTATAGTCAACGAAACTTTGACAAAGTGGAGTTTCCGGCTGAACTAAATTTTTATGTAACCAAAGTTGCAAATAAAGCTTAGTCTATTAACAAGTTGATTGGTTTTATACCGCTTACTTAATGCACAAGTTTTTGTACAGACTTGACTACGTAAGATACTTATTTAACCGCGATATTGTTCGGATATCACTGAAATTTAAAATAGCAAGATTTAAGATCTTTTAAGTTACTTACAGCGCTTATAAGGTAATATCGTGTATTGATCGGATAAAGATATCATTTTATTTTCAGAAAGTAGCATTATCCGATAGTCAAAAACTGGGCTATTCAGATTTCTTGGTAATTCTATCGTACACTTTGTTTCATTCGTGTTATAGCAAGCCAGAGAAGAGGAGATACTTGCAGTAAATGACCAATATTTATATTTAACAGCGTAGTGCAAGCGTCTGATAGGTAAACATTTAGAATTATTCGATGTACGTGACGTCCATGATATTGAGATTCGATTGCATATGACAGAAATCTTGATATCATCAAGAGCAATGTTTGAAACTGGTTTAAAAAAGAATTAACGGTTATTAGAGTTTCGTCGATAAATTAAAAATTGGAAGTACTTTACGGCAACCAGAATCTACTCGCAATATAATGAAAAATTTCCAGTTAAATCAGCTTTTTAGCTCTTAATTTCTATGTTATATTAAACTAGTGGAGAAGTCATTTGAAGATTACGATCATTAATCCTAAGTTCCGAATAAATGGTATCCGGTTAAATCACCCAACTTAGCCCTTAAAAGTAATATATTAAATTAAACTAGCGTAAAGTCACTTAATGGTTCTCATCAAATTTTAAGTTCCTTATGATTCATAATTAAACCTAATTTACGGCTGAAGCCTATTTCTTCTGTCAGATAATCGGATAGGTTATTTCACAAATTAAATTTATTATTAACGTTGCATTACTATCAGTGCTATGTGGGATAGAACTTGACGTAATTTTTTACCGTAAACTATATCTTAGCACTTGAAATATCTAATTTTACTTTTAGGAAATGGGCTCATAATGTAATGGATTGCATGTGTGTGCGTATAATACGCACACTCAAGAAGCGAAAAATTTTTCGAAAATGGTAAAGCGCATACACTCTATAAGACAAGGAGAAATGAACATGGCTAAATGTTTAGCCAGGTCTGATAGAATGCCTCTCATTATTAGAAATCGTACTGATCTCAAATTACGAAGATATCTCCTTGATTACTTTTACAGGTAATTGGAATATCACTAAAACTGTAATATTATTTTAAATTAGGTTAAAATCTATAGTGTTTGCTTACAATCATTTCCTTATATTATGCGCATTGAAAGGCAGTAAATGTTGTAAAATATCTTTCACGAGTTTACTAACTTATATTAAAACTTAGTTTAGAAAAAATTCGTAATAGGTTATATGATTGTTTTACCAGTATTTAAAACGCACAATTTTCGAGTAAAATTGAATATTTTAGCTTTACTTTACTGCACTGCAAATAGAATTTTGTAATAAATGTTTGAGCTTCTAGTCCATTTATGCTACACCCTAATTTATTTATATAATTGACGTAATGTTTGGTTTAAAACTCAAAAATAATAATAATAACCTAACAATAACAGGTTAATTATAGCATGCAAGACTCATTTCATGCTAACTACCATATCAAAGCACATTTCTTATGAAATAGATAAGTTTAAACCAATTATTTCGAAAAGCTAAACTTTGCACTCGTTCGAAAGTAGAAATGGATTTAATGTGAAACTATTTAAATTGGAATTAATTTCTATTGTTGCACTCTATACAATAATAAGTTAGGAATAAAAAAAACAATATAATATTACTGCACGTTGAGTTGGATATACTAATGAAGATTCGTAGATTTGCAGTAGCTATCCAAATCATGCACTACGTGGTTTGGACGTTTGAACAGTACGTTATATTTACTCGCAAATTGAAGAAATAAATTAATACAGGACCGAATAAAAGCTTACCTTTAGGATTGCATGAAGAGCTGCCAGGAAGATTCTTACTCCTTCCTAAGTAGGCGGTTATTCAGATAGAAATTGTGGCAAAAGATTCAAAATTAGTTTTTGCATAGTAATATAATGACTTCCTATCAGAAAATTCAAAAGCATCGTCTCCATAATGAATATGTTAAAGGTGCTTTGATTCATTAATCTAACGTTCTAATTAGTTTCTGCGGCTATCATATATTACTTTATTATTTACTATTAAAATGTGATATAAAATTCCATAATTTGTAGAAAATTAGAACTTTACTCGATCTTTATACAACGATTACGTATACACGACTCTACTGTAGCTGAATATGACTACTAGAAAGATTTCTAGAAAATAATTACTAAATAGTACTATAACATTAATTGAATGTAACATTAACTAATAAGAATAGTTACTAACATCAGTACAGAAGGATTTATATTAGTACAGAGACCTTATCTTAATTGTGTTAATGTCAGCAACCTTATCTAATAAGGAAATCACTAATGTGTAATATACGATGTGTAGTGTGAATCACTAATAAATAAGATCGTTGTATATAAGCCATTTTTTATTTATTATAGTTTAGTTCCTTAATTGCTGGTCTTGACGCTGATCTCTCAACAAACGTAATAAAATAGCCTATTATTATCTAGCAACGTATAGATTACTGTGAATTTGATTACGTGTATAGAGTTGCCTGCTTACATATTGTACTTTTTGTAGCGTTTATAGCTACAACCAGCATTGCAATATACTACTTTATTTTACAATTATCACATTACTTAAAGTAGTAATAACATTTAAGCTGAGCAGCTATAATCCGATATGATAACAGCTAGAGTATTGACGCAGACGTGATTTCTATCATCCAAAGTACGACAAACCAAGTCCTAATGCATGAGTTACCTATATATTATTACTACTAGCAACAAAATGAACTCAAAATCCTACTAAAAAGGTAATCTATACTCTATCATGGAATCTTTAATTATAGTCCATAGTTATGAGCCTTTAATTAAAAATGCTTTATGACAAAAATAAAAAGCTACGCTACTGTACAACATGCTAAATATGATTAATAAGTAACAATTCGATATTATATTACGCTAAGTATGATACACGAGTGCATAACAACTTCAATGATAATAAAGTACCAGCTTTTGCAATAGATCGGTATTGCAAAAGTATAAAATAATTCTTAATTGCCTTACCTGAAACTATGAATGACCATCCAAGCATAACTGCTAAACCTAATAGCAATTTCATGTTGTATCGTAGCTCTTGAAATGCAAATCGGTTATCGTACAAATATTAAATCAGTAACAAATTTATGGATAGTATGAACTATTATAACTTAATCTGTAACTAATAATCTTTTATGATATATAACCGCAAGTATTTCAAATGTTATTTAATCTAAAGATGGACATATATATATATATTTAGGTGTATTAATAGACCGATATAGGGGGTATTGTGTTGAATCCCCACATGTAAACGGCGGTACATAATTTGAATAAATGAATATTGTGTAGGCCCTATATAGTATTTACTCCAATTTCTATTACGTCATCATGTAACAATATTTCCTACCATTACCTTATTATGGTACCTTAATGCAATATTATTAAAGTCAGGACGCTCTCATGCGTTTAAATATTCGATATAGTTATTACTCATCATTTAAAGGTCTTACGGCAAAAAAACAATCATAACAGTTTAAGAATAATGATCATTCCCGGTTTAATTTTCTACCTTATTTGCATATTAGGGAAGTCATAGTTTGATTCGAAGTCTACAATACACCGATAGAATTTTTAAATTGGACATTGCCCATATTGATAAGTATGGAAAATCAGATGCTGTCCTATTAAGTTTAGAGTAATTGATATCAGAAATATATTACAGTACGGTTGAGGGAGTATAAAGAGAATTGATGCAAAATCGATTGATTATCTGAAAGTAAGGGGGAAATTTCCCATAGTTATTCGGCTATTCTTCCTTGGCGATTTAACGCTGACAAGGGCGGTATGAGTCATTACATAAACTGATGATCGATTACCGGAACTAATTAACATTCAATATAGCAGTACATGGAAAAAAACTAAATAAGATATTTATAGCTATGTCATCCACGTGAGCAGAGATTCTTTTCAATTCAATGTTTTTACACTGATTACTTTTCTATCAAACTCCACTGGAAATTGTAGTATAGATAAATTATTGTTTATATTTCTATTGCAGTATCCTTTTGATACTTTATTAACATCAAGCTTCTATTATAGATGAATAATGACTTTATAAATGATTTTGGAATTATGATAAAGGTGATTTCTTCTTATCAGACGTTAACGTGATTTTTCAGTCGATCTCTCACCATGCAAAAAACGTAGTCGCTCCACCACACATTATATTATGAAAAAGTCGTTTAAGTATTAAAAACTTGTTCCTGCAATAGATTTATTCGTATCTATTTCTATATATTCTAACAATTAACTGTCAGTTACAGTAATACTTTTGGTAGTGTTTATTTTTTGCACAAAAATGCTGTTGCTAAGATTAGAAGTATGTTACTACTAAACTTCATTGAATGTAAAGAAATTTCCGCTATGTTGGAAGAACGAGTAACAAAATAGTTTATACTGCATTAGAAAAAGAAATTTGATGACCCTTCACGTAATCGCCAAATGTTGACCAGGCTAGAAATTACGATAAAATTCTTAAATTATTGAAATAATTTACTTAGGAAGCTCGATATAATAACATACAGCAAGAAACCTACGATATGATTCAATATAAACTATTGATTATAATTATGTATCATCATAGCAATTTGAAACAATAAATATCTAGAGTCTGCTAGTAATTTTTAAAAGCACTAGGATGAAACCAGAAGCGCTAGCGACTACAAAATTACAGCTAAATGGTAAGGATAATTTATATAGTGGTATCCAATGGTTAAGAAATATTATTATCTCCTTATCCCGGTAGCAATTAAATAAAAATTTGTTGAAATAGTAATTTTAGCCAGTTAAACTACAGTCAAATATGTTGATTAAAAGCTGCCTATAAATCAGAAAGACTTTGTAGGCCTGAAATACTCATACAGCAACTAGATTCCAATTACGAAAATAAAGTACGGTAGTAATCTGTTTCATCATTAATCCTCTTGATTGCAACATCGATCCTAACAAGAATTTACCTCTAGCTGTGACTGAGAATGTCTACTTAGTAATAATTTTTGCTTGCCATATTATTATTATGATTTATTTTTACTCCTTCTCTTCAATAACAAACAATATTTATTTATTCGACAATTACAGAACATCAGAGATAAAGATCTCTGCACCTTAGAATTATTTTTGCGTATACTAAATCTTTTCGTAATAAATGAAAAATCTGCTAGTATTACAACGGCTCTAATTGTTGCTTAATAAACTGTGAATATACGTATTTAAAGGCGGTAATAAGCATTCTTTACAGTCATTAAGGCTAGAAATGAGATCTTTAGCATTTTCCTTGCAACTTATTGATACGCCTTCATAATTGTATGTTGACTGCAACAGAATCATGAAATCATAGATCAATAACAATCATAGCATTGGCATTATCGTAAACTCTCAAAGATCAATTATAAGACAATCTTAACGTTCTCTTACTCTTATTTATGTGCTTATGTAGGACAGTCCTTAAAATAGCGCAATAGGTGGTAGGTAATTGATGAAAGATATTTAATCATGTAAGATTGACAGCATATGTTAGTAGTTGTAGACGAACTAAAATTCAAGATTGCTTTAAGCACGGATCTGCGCCAAATAATTAAAAGGTAAATTTTAGTAGGAATATTTATTAAGATGATTGGACACCAAATTATAAGTTATCGAATTTGAATCACTTCTGATTTTGAGACACTTTATCACACTCTTCAACATGACGTGATGACTATAATAAAAACTATACAATCATAAGCCGATAGCAATCGCATCATTGACATCTTTTTAAATGCTCAAGAATACGATTCGACTGACCTTTTAATCATAGATCACATTAGGCAACTTAATATGCGTCAGTGAGTACAGGAATGATAATATTCGTAGCCCTTCAATAAAGTAAAATTGAAATGTTTGTACGAGAGATCTGAAATCAAGTCAAATGCACTATCGTATCATTTATCTGATGAAAGAATTAATCATTCCCTAGCTTTAGAAATAACTATTTTAAAGAAGTGGTAGCTCTCTACATAAAGTGTTTGTTATGATGTTACAGTATTTCGATCATTGTTATCGTTTGTCACTTTTCCAGCATGTTGTAAAATGCTACTACTATTGACAGTTTTGGTGTTATAAATCACTTTGGCACTGCTCTTTTCACAATCGATAGAATCTACAATGATTGAATTTTCGAGAAGAAAATTGAGATAAGAACTTCCTCATATAGTGATATATCACTAATTTACTTTTTGAGTTCCTCTAATAGGACTAATCAGAACAAATTCGGAGCAAAATGGTTTCTACGAATCCTGATTAATGAATTTCTACAACTGCGGATTTAATTTCGGGATCAGGACAGCAGTTACCGTGCTGATTTAGACACTTATGTAATGAACTCTTTCACGATCTCTGAATCATACTATAAGTAAGAATTATTAAATCGTTAAATTAACTTCTTAGATTTGTATAAGAACTAAATTCTATGATTGTCGTAGAATTCCAGGAAAGTAAAATTAATAATATTGCATCCTTTACTAACAACATCACCATACTTGTATTTGGTATAGCTAATGAATACTGCTAATAATGATGTAATTAGTATCATTAAAAGCATTACAATATTGGAATAATCTTTATAATATTGCTCAGAACTATGCAAGATTCGTCATATCTTACTTATATGCTAGGTAATTTTTATTTTATTTAAGAAAAATCATAGAAAATAAATCTGTAAAACAAGAAGAATTGATGAATTGATACAGTTTAATCTAACAGTAATTTTAAGCCCAAATTTCATTTTTTAGCTAACAACTGCTGCTTGAAAAAATATAGCTACAGCGTACTATATGTGAAACAATCTCATGCAATATATTATAAATCTATTTTCATAATATGACATCGAAAGATTGAACTATCAAATCCAGTGAATTATATCATTTGCAAATTACTAGCCGCTTCTGTAATAAATTCGGAATAAGATCATAATTAACGCCGAAAATTTCCAACTCAATCGAAAGTCGTATTCAAAAAACTTGTAAATTAAAGTCCAATGCTTATTAAAATTTATGCTTCATTATTTGACTATCGTAAACTAAGGAGATAAATTCTTGGTTATTCTATTCGCAGATCGATATATAATTATGGCGATATCTTATTACAATTTTCTCAGATGGTGATGAATTAATACATAGATCGTATCAACTACGCAATTAACATTTGAACTTGTCGAATTTTTAACCAAGTCGAGAATGCTAATAGAATTCTTAAGCATAGAATTCAACAGTCTATTTCGACTGCCTAGCCTTTAAAAATAATCGAATTTTTTTCATCTTAAGTAAGGTAGACAAAATTATTCAGCTGCAAATACGAAATCGAGAAAAGAATTAATTATATCTATCAGATTTAGTTGCTATACTATTCTCATCTTTTGCGACAGCAAGCATGTAGCAACAGCGATAAACTTATTATTTGACTAATTTATTTCACAGTAATTGTATCCCATTTAACTACATACTCTAAGATAAAAAATTTGCCAATAATTCGTTTTTTATAGAATGATTAATAAAATATTTTTCTACCTGCAATTGGATATTAAGCGGCTGCTGTTTGTAATCTAAATTTAATTAAGGCGATTAGCTACTAATTTGTTTTTATTAGAGACAATATAACGTCCCTTCCAATGAAATACGTAAATCTTGTAATATCCAATTATTAATTAATAGAGGAAATTATTCTACTCTATTTTCGATTGGATGAACATTAGTCAAGGATAAGATACTTTGGGAATCATAGTTACTATCATCTGACGATTGATCAGACCATTTATCAAGTAGGCTAAATCCAGAAATATCATCGCAATTACGCCATGTATAGGAATATTTAGCATAGTTTTCATCAAAATATTGAAATAGTGAATTCGAAGAGTCCGTTCGCCTAGCAGAATCCATACTTAAATCTCTATGATACCTGTTAGAAAACGGGAAATTTTCATAGGCTGGAAGCCTAGTTAACGAACCAATATCTGCAACGTTGCTATTTCCAGCGGAACATATTGCAACTTCAGAATTGGAGTAAGTAATCCTTGAAGTAAATGGATAAAATGTTAGAGTTACATTACTAGGAAATGATGCCAGTGAGCTATTAATATCTTGTTCGTTAATATCTATAGCATTGACATCGGTAACTCGATAGCCTTCCGTCAATCTTTTATCATCTTTAGTACCAGTCTCAAAATTAGAATAACTTCTCATGAGTCGATTATTGTTCATATTACTTATTCCAGGTAATCTGTTAAAATTTTCAGTTGTATCGAAATCTTGGAACTGATTTTTTGCAAAGGGTAAATCGTAGTAGGAATTTTCTTTCGCATCATTAACCCCGGTTTCGATATTGGAATAACATCTCATTAGTCCATTAATACCCACATGAATTAATGGAGGCAATCTGTTAGGCACAACAATTCCACCAGAAGTTCGAAATTGATATCTTCTAAATGAAGAGCCATCATTGAAGATTCTCTCAGTTTTTAAATCGTTGTGGAAGTTTCTCACGGTATGATTCACTTGCTCTACTGTAGGAGCATAATTATTGATGAGCATCTGTTGAAATAAATCAGTATACCCTATGGATAGATTAGAAGATACATTTTTTTGTCTAAAAGCGGCAAACTGGGCTTGTTGGTCATCATTTTTATTAGTGAAATCAAGACTGGCAGAACTTTCTCGATTGTTGATAGGCCTGTTTTGTAGATTTTCTTCAATATTTATAGCTACTTTTCCACCCTTTTGTCTATGTTGTAATTGATTATCAACACGAGATAAGATCGCGCTTTCGTAGTTAACTTGTATAATGTTATCAGATAGACTTGCGGTTGGATCTACTTGCTCATTATTTTGATCTTCATTAGCGTTATTTCGATTTAAACAAGGATTTCTTAAACTATATCCGTTTTGCAATTGATCAGCCACTCGAAATGGAGCCACGCTCTTGTTCTTATCTACATTGCTATTAGGTAGATTTGTGATTCGATCCATTGGGATATCAACCTGATTTTTATCAATATCTCCACTATTTTTACAAGGATAGCATACAATTACATGGTTAGCAGATCTATCGGCAATATTCGTTTTTACCTCGTAAGAATTTTCTCCATTGCACTTGCTTATGACGTTTTTAGTCGACTGTTGTACATAGCATGCTAATATAGAGAGTACAAATAAAATACCCAATAGGACAACTATTATAATATAACATCCGATAGCTGAAGGTGCCGAAGTTCCTATAGATATTCAGAATGAAACAAGATATAGTCGTCTCTGCTAGCTTTCTATTCAATTAGAAGACACTTGATAATCAAATATTCTTTGCCTCTGAGGTCTAATAAAAGAACATCTAAAATTAATCGGTCTCTTACCAGTTGAAATTGTTGACCTTGTTGTAGTTGTCTTACTCGTGCTTGTATCTGTATTTTCATTATTCTTGCTATAAGTAGCTCGCCTAGTTTCTAGTAACATTTTAAACAATAAATGATGATCATATTACTTTTCAAATATTTGAAAGATATCACAAATTATATTGATTTTGAAGCTCTTCTAGAAGACACCATCATCTAACAATATTTATGATATTTATGATATTGCTGTAAAATCTATACCTGCAGTATTTGACATAGTCCATGCTTTAGAACCTAAATCGTTGATGGTAGGCCTGATAGTCTTAAGTAATTTATAAGGAATCAAAGTTGAGACCTGACTTTTTCTCGGAGTAGTATAGCCACCCAAACTTGGTGTATAGCCTATATCAAAATTGAAATTAAGATACTGTTATATAAACATATTTCTCAAGATTGCGTAATCATAGAAAGAGCAATCATAATTTGATTACTTTAAGCCCAGCCTATACTACGAAGTCCATGAATTATATTAGCTATAATTTGTCAAAATTTTTATTAATACTTTGAGATCAAGTTGATAAGTATACGTATGATAACATCTTTAATAATGTAGTTAAACAGCTCCATGATTCCACTTAAAGTCTAGTGTATTCATTTAAATAATGACCAATTCTGGATTAAAATAGACTGCTTAATTTGTAAAATCATCATCCACTTATAAAAACAGCTGTAAAAGTATAGAACAACTATCGGTTGAAATTACTTAATTCCATTTGACCATATTTCAATTATTAGTAGCAACATATCACTTTAAGATCACATATGAGCTACTACTGCCAGTCTGCAATACTGGCTAGTATTCATATGAAGGGTGAGAGGACTAATTTATACTAAAGATAATAATTTATTTAAGAAAGCCACTAGATATTTTATTTTAGAGAAACTTTACCATAAACCGTGAAATCTTTAACGTCTTTAACTAGAATCAATTTTGTAGCTATACAAGAAATCGCTAGCCATATCAGCTGAATGCTTAAAGTACTATTAATGGCATAATAAAAGTTATTACTTGCTATTATTGGTTTCCCTGCAGATTCAATTGGTACTGGTGAAATATCTGGATATAGCCATGGACATATGATTGGCCGACATGGAAAATTGGTATTCTCATCAGTAGTAGCAGAGCTCCTCGTTTTGGTCGCAGTCGCATCAGGTTTTATCTCACTTCTCTCGTTAGATGGGATACTAAATGACCATTTCGTGGTATTATCACTAACTAATTGAGATGGGGCTTTGGTATTAGCAAACCAAGAGTAGACTTGATTAAAGTGAAACTGATTAAATGGACGTTGAATGACGCTAATCTTACTATCCTGTAAAAGATGAATACAAAGAAGCTAGTGAAAAATCCTCAACTAGATTTCCGCGTTGTATTGATTAATGATATATAATTTATTCTATGAACCACCAGTAATGATGCGACTACTCTCAATCTGCTTTAAGTTATCTAATTATAGTTATCTTAGCATAGTGTATAATATCGTATTTTATACATTTTTAATATTGAATGCGATAACGTACATGCCTTTGAAAGATGTAGAAGTTAACTAATTAAAATATACTAGTATTACGGAAATATTGGATACAGAATTTTTAGAGCCTGCACTTGTATATTGCAGTCATGAATGTGGTCACTACATCATTTTTCTCATAGTTTTAATTTAATAGTTCTACTTCAACGTAATTGATTTCCTATTCCTAGATACAGCTCTCATCATGACCATGAAATAATATTAAAAGACACACTATGGTCTCACCAATTGAAGCACTTGAGTCCTGTCGTTATTGATCAAGTAAAAATTATACATGTAATCGCGTTTGTCAAAGCAATCCTGTGATTCAATGCATTGAAACTTGACTACTTTTTCTCTAAAATCAATAAGTGTATTGCATATTTGCGGAGGATCGGGTTTAACTAGTAAAATTAGAAGAAGATTATTAGGAAAAGTCATTTACTCTAAATAAAGTAAGAGTCATCGTATACTTAATAAAAATGAAAAGCTAGTTTTTATGTAATATTATAATTGTCTGCTTGCTCATAAACTAGAAATCTGATAATTTAAAACTAGCGAAAGCAATTGATGAATGTAATCAAAATCATACTATAACCTTTAACTTATATCATGTCTAATTAATGAACAATGAATTATAATTAGCAGCAAAGTTAATAATTGCTTTTCAGTACGGTAGAAAATATTGGCTAAAACATATTGAAAATGTGCCACTATTCAAAGAAGATATCTTTTCTATAAGCTAGTCGACTGACTATTACGTTCATGTGTTGCATTTTCTTCACTATAGCTATCAAAATCGACTGGTGGCTTTAGAATCTAATAGCAGGAAAATATTCATTAATTTTAGGATTATTTTACTACAGCGGTAACTTGTCAACGTTAAAGAGCAGGTATATCCTGCTAATGCAACGCTATGTCTGAAGGTCTAACATGCAATCAATTAGTATCAGTTTAAAGCTTTAAATGCGACTTTCCATCTACGTAATCATTTCGCTTAGTTATAATGAAAGACTGATATTATAAATTTGAATAGCAATGATCTTACATTTTTTTGGAAGATCTATAATGGATGAGTCTGTCATATTGACTTTTTGACCGTTATACATGGTCACAATTTGATATCGAAATGTTGGAGCATTCGATGCAACAGGCAGAGTTATTTCGCATCTATTGTTGTTCATCTTCTTGCAGGAGAGTGATTTCATACACGGAACGAAGAATCCATGACATGGATATTCAATAGAGTATTCAACGAATTTCAAGCACTCAAAAGGCATATCAATGGGATGATTCCATGTAATTCGCAGTCGATTGCATTGGAAAACCGTTATAATATTAGCTGCAACACCTATTTTATTCTTAGCTAAAAATATAGGACAAGTCGTTGTTACTAATAAAATTCGAGTAAATTGAATTCTATGAAACGAAATATATGACTTCAATAGTGAATAAGCCTTGCTGTGAAATAACTATGGGATTTTGGGCAGTCCTAGTTTTAAAGTGGAAAAAAATGTCCTAATACGTTTCAATAAGTCTCATATTATAAGATATAGTTACTGTGTAATCTTTAGTATTCCTCAAATGCGTGTTTAACCAGATCATAAAAGCAACTTACAATGCATTACTTTCTGAATTTATTTTAGATTTAGAATCAATACCTAGATGTCACAAACCAGCTTTGTGACAAAAGTAACGTAAAACAAATTTCTAAATTACTAAGTCTCCGGGATTCAGTATCCCGTAACCACCTCACAAGAATTTGGACGCTTTTGCTTTTATGTTAAAACAACTATAAAACTCTTCTTTCATTCAACTATCTACCGAGCTTAAATACCTTTGGGCTGCAACTATCATGTATGATTCATAACAGTTCATGCAATTTTAGCTCATATAGGATAGCTAAATTAACACAGACATTAATCATAATTTTGGACATGTACTGAACGATTCTAGATAATTAGACTACAGTATGTCCACTCACAGAATTATTTATAGTGTCATCCATCATTGAATATCTTCAGAATATTCATCACAAGCGTTACAAGACATAACACTATAATCAATTAATATTAGTTACCTTATGAGAACTCTTACTACAATACAGCATAATTTGTTGTAACCAAAATAATAACTACTGTAGTTTTTACTGTAAGTCATCATTAATTATCTCCATATATAAATGTTTAACACTAAATTTAGTCATTTACTCTTCACTATGTCTCGTACTATGACTCTAGAACTATAATGTTGTTAGGACCAGATTAGGGGAAGGATTAAAGCCTGCTAAAAGTGCTACACAGTTTGATTACTTTGCAGCCTCTTACTACAAAATTGAGATACTGAAAAACAACAATGCAACGTCTTGCTTTATCAAAATCTAATAGAGTCCGCTTTAATTTTAATGCAGTCTCAATTTCATTGGATAGATTTTTACTAGAGCTAGACCTTAAAATATGGGTAAACCTTCTTGGTTATTCGTACACTGTATATCTACAGTAGTTTATTTTGGTTGGTATTCATAAGACCTGATAAGTTTTGACATGGCTCAAGGGTCACTTTGAAATAAAGTATATTACACTAGGTAATCGAAGATAAGCAGATTTGAATAACTTCTAAGCCGTCGGTCTCTCTCTAGGTGGTCTTATAATTAATTCAACTAATGAACCATAGAATTACAACAATGTTTAATATTGTTTCTTGCAGCAAAATTTGTACAGTATTGTAGTGTACGAGTTCTTAATCTACTATACTATCACTGCATTTCCGTAACACGTAACTACTGTAAATAGCTGAAATCATTTGAAGTATGTACTGATTGTCTTTGCGATGACATAATATTAATATCCTACATTTCGAATATTTAGATCAATAAAATACATCAATGTAAACATCTTGGTATGGATACTACAAGTCAACAAACACCAAATTGATCACTCATTATTTTGCTTAGTCCTGCGAATGCTTAAGTCTGATATAATAACTACGGCGATGATAATTTGTTTGAATTTTATAAACAGATTGAGATGTTGTTCCAAGCTCATCTATTCAAGTCATGATGACGTTATGATTAAATAATTTTGGACGTCTATTAATCTATCTTTGCGAAAGCATTAAAATACTCATTGCTATCATAATTTAATGATATGGTATGTACTGAAATCTTTTATAAGTTATGATCAAATTAAATTAAATGGTTGAAGTAGTTCACTTTAATAGCTGAAATCTCTATATCAACTGTGCTAAACGATATAAAATAAGGAAAATTTAGGACAAAACTAATCTAGAAAAACAATAAATGACGACGCATGTTGCACGAGAATGCCAATTTTGTGTTATATATTAATATTAATGAAATAGGCTATATTCTTATTATCTTTCTACTATTCTTGATATTTTAGTTATTGGCAAAACAATTTGGAAAATATTTCCAGTGCTAAATCGAAATTTAAACTTACCCAGATCGCAGTTAGTCCTAGAAATTGTAGTATCGCCTTATTAAAAGAGAATAGAAATTATACCTTGACATCATAAGACTAATGTAAACTGACAATTGCAAACTTAACATTAAACTGAATTGATAGGGCAAGCGTGAAGTAGTCACATTAAAGAACTTTCGAATTGAGTATTTGAAATTATATGTCTAGATCACAGTAGGCTTATCTTATAAGTACATTGAATAGTAATTGGTACTTTTGGTATTCAGGGAAAATGCTTAACGATGTAAGATGATTTAATTTCGTAAATTTCTTTTTAATCTATCGTAGATCTCTCTGGATTGAAGTCATTCGTACGACAATATTTTCTGCCATAACCAGTTACCAATTCCATTGAAAGAAAAGTGATCAATTTTATTTGCTTCAAATAATAAATGCATTGCGGTCTAATCTGTACCTTTATGGTAAATATCTAATTTGATTCATTTCTAATAAAAAAATTTATTCTCTCAGTTTGATAATTTAGTTATACGCTCAATTTTATTTAGATGGTTTATTGATGAAATCTTCTATAATAGTCTCTCATTAAATATCTTTCTCTCATTCAACTAGACGTAGCTCATTGTCCTACGGCTTCTTCGTTACTGAAGTTACTGATAATTAATACAAAGGAGCTGATCAACACTTACAATTAAATTCCTATTACTTCGACGATCATATTCAAGTTTCGCTGTTATATCATAATTAAGTTAGAATTCACACCCTACCTGAACTTTCACCAAATGACCGAGTAATAGCAACAACAGTTAGCATCAAAATCTGCCACATCTTGTATCATCAGCGGCGGTAGCTGTCAAGTTATTCTATACAATTGTTGATTGTGCAATGAATTCAAATAGCTACAGTATTGAAATAACATCAAATGAATAAGTTGGCGATTTATCTTATGCTGTTAAAAGTCATAAAGCTATTAATTCATAATACCTTACGCTGCTCTTTAAATAAGAATTTTTTAATCGAATTTGATTTATGTGCAAAAGAGTTTTACTATGCAAATGGCCAATGAATGCTACTTCGATCCTTCGATCGTGTCTTTATTCAATTAAATTATACATCTAGCGTATCTTAAAATACAGTAGTTTTGCCTATCTTGTGATAAGGCGAGGCTTCATGATAATGCAAAATACATAATTTGGGCAATCCCCGGAATTATTTATTTTAATTTAATTTATTATGTGGCATCAGTTCATCCTACACACAAGGTAGGCAAAAGTAATAGTATTTCATAACACGTGTATTTATACACTGATGGTAGTTTTATACCCAAGTCTTAAGCGAGAAAAATCATATCCTAGACTACATTAGATCACCCAGATGTGGGCGATCGATACTATTAGTATGACATCATCGACAATTAAATCATCATCGCATGTTAATTTTACAGATTATCATTCTTCGTTACTAAGCATTTGCTCTAACTTAAACGACCAAATAGTTTGATTATATACATAATAAGAATGAAGATTTACCAGCCAAATATCAAGGCATAGATTTAGTTGAATGATTTCTTAAAGCTAGGCTTCGTCTCCATAAAGCAATTAGTGATACCTGCTTGAAATGTTAACTTACTCATCTGCTCAATACAATCTTATCTACTTAAATTGAATCTTTGTGGAATAGAAATTGCTCACATGCCAATGTCTATTTATATAGAGAGCTAGTATGAACGATAATGATCCATGCTTTAAGATCCTAAAAGTACCGGTGAATGATAACAGGCAGCTTTAAACTTTAAGTTTGATAGTATTACACCTCTGTAGCCCTTTGTGTCGATAGATATTTGCTTTAATTATGACTCATCTGGGGACTTTTAACTTTGATTATCCACCTGTGATTGTGGGTATCCAAACAACTCTAATGTAAATAATAATTATACTAGCAAGATACTTGATAAAGATTTAAAATTCATCACATCAACAATACTTAAAAGGATATCCTATCCACGTTTAGTCTAAGTCTATCATGATGACGATTACATCATATTGTTATCCAATGCTTGTGTTTGTGCTTAGAATTATATCCCTAGAATCATCAATACTAAGTAATTAATAGAAGTTGTACCTCGAAGTGATTTGATTGGGCACTTAATATTATAACTTATTCCTCTTAAAAACCTTGTTGTATAGAAAATTTAACTAGGCTATCTTTATTCTTATTAAGTACTCACTGGAGCTTTTAAAGTTCAGATGACAAAACGAATGACAATTTTCCGGCGCATTGTTGAGTTCTACCTGATATTTATGATAAGAGTAGGAAATACAATCTCTGAAATATTATCCTTATGAATCTGAGCTTTTCCAAATTATGTTCATTACGATAATGCGTATAGGAGTAATTGTAGTTCCTTATTAATTGTCATTTCTTTTAAAAATTTACTGTAAATTAAAATTTCTGATCAAGAGATACTAAGGTCTAAACAAAATATCCTATCCTATTTTGGCTCGAAAATAATTTACTTCAATACAATGCCTATAAAGTATTTCCCTATGTCCACTATACCTAGAGTCAGGTATAATACGATATGTGGTTACCTAGACGATAGCCAATAAGTTATAAATATTCATGCAGTAAATAGCCGTTTCTTAACGATGTTGAGTAACTTCTTGTTAAGAGTTTGATATCTTTCCATACAAATTTCAGTAAGTAAATGAAGGGTAAAATTTGGGGAAAGAATTAAGTTTATTAGGAATAGGTAGCAAGGAGAGTAATCATCAGTAAACGATAGGCACATGATGAAGGATTTTAATAGAACTGAATTCTTAATTTATTGTGCTGCATATAAAGTACTGGATCAGTACTGTAAAAGAACAAGTCAAGATTAGTAGACCGAATAGCAGGATAACAGGAGTACATAGTAAGGCATATACCGTACTTTTACCTTAAACTGTATTATGTAGACTTCTATTGCATATACCTAATGTAAGGAAATTAACTACGGAGTATAATGCTTATATTGGGTAAGTAATATTACGTGTCTATGCAGCTATGCATAAAACACTTGACTGTTGAAGAGTATATTATATGACAGTCAAAGAAGATTGTGTACTATTGTTTATACCGACTATGTAGATAACCTATTTCACATTCAATATATCAATATTTTAAATTTGTCGTTAGTATTCTAATTGGTTACTTCTTGTCGTTAAATTTGATATCTACGAGTAATTAAATGCTTAAACAGAATTGAATAGGACTTGTATCTGACGAGTCTACTCGATCAGAATACAAGTTGATCGTTTACTATTAGCTACTGCTACGCATTACTCCTTAATCTGCTTCAAGATGTCATATGATTGTATTTCAACTACTGTAGCACTTAAGAAACCACTCTTTTAAAGGGCTCACAAAGCAATAATTGCACTAAAACCTCATTTTCTTTTGCAATCCGTACTCTATTCTACGAAATATTTTTATTAACAAATTCATCACCTCTACATTCAGCCTTAAGTAGAATCAATTGCTTTAAATCGATCATTATACAATCAAGTGAGTAATTTTGAGTAAAAAAATACCACATAAATCACAACTATCTTAATTAGATTACGTATGAATCAATTGGTATAAGGCAGCATTACCAATTTAGTTTTGAAATCAAGTTTAATTTGAAGACTAATCAAAATTGCGAATTTAATGATGCATAGTCTTATTCAGCATCACATTAAAATAAGTAGACTTGATAGGATCGTCAGATGGACCTTGCTGGGCAATAATTTGACTTCTTTTCGAATTTTGACCAGAGCTTTCTTGATCTTATAAAGGTCTTTTTATACACTGCAGGTTAACTTTGGCATTACTTTTAATTGCTTTTCTACTGTCTAGTCTATCTTGGAACTGCCTAGTACCTTATGATAAAAACGTTGTGGCAGAATTTTGCTTAACACTTCCAGATAGATTTGTTGCTATTGGTAATTGTAAATTACCTTCATTCACATTATCATTGGAACTATAATGATCTGAAGGTTTATTGCCAGTAGAGCTACCGGCACTTGTCAGTTCCATTACAGCATGACCATGCATATTAATACGCTCGCTAGATTTTCGAATACAGCAGAAGCAAATTATTATAGCAAGCCCAATCAAAATACCTACAATGGCAACTAGTGTAATATAAAATAAAACAAGATGCGGCGATGACTTATCTATAAGTTTTAAGGATAGAATAAAAAAACATAGTTACCCACATTGACTTTCTGATCAATTGGAGGAAACTTTAAAATCGACAATCATCAGGCACTTAGAACTAACAGATAAAATCTCTTACTAATACTAGGTTTTGTTGCAGAAGTGATGAAAATTCTAGATGTAGTAAATAATCATTGATTTCTTGGTCGATCAGTTTCTTGATTTGTGCTGGTGATCAGTATCGCACCTGGTAAAATTATGATTGATTAATTTTATTCATGTCATTTTAAAATTTTAATGTAATCATAATTGATACTTCGATGATGTTATAAAGGCATATAATTATCATGAAAAAAATCGAAGAGGTCATGATTCGACGGTCATTGCTCCAATCTAGGTAAGATATTTATAAAAACTTTGTTACAGTTTATGCTAAATTTATAGTAACTAATGTAAATAGTAAAAAAGAATGATTCATTCCTCGTTCACTATATCTAGTTTATTCTAATTGGTGTTGCGAAAGCCTGACCGTTTGTAACACAGCTTAAGTATCACAGAGAAAGCGAATTAGATTCGGTGCTTGTTTGGTCAATTTCTAAACCAGTCCTCTTTAAACACCGGTATCTTATTAATTTATCACAAATATTGCCGTGATTCGAAGGCAATTTTAAAATGATAATGTTTCAGTCTCAGTTAATGGAGCTAGCCCACATTTAACAGAAATAGTGAATCAATATCAGCTGAGTACAATTTACAATATGCATCCTTTTACTGAATGATAGCCGGAATATACCAGCTATATAGGAACACCGTATCATTTCGACTTATGTAAACGCAGCAAACGTGTACCATCTAGTACCTGTCTAACGTCAATGAAAATATTTAATCACATTTACCATGCATGTCTTGTACTAATAGGAATAATAAACTAATTCTAAGTAAAGGTGCGCCTCTTCAGTGCCTTTATTCACAATAGATTACGCATAGTAAAGTATATTTTTCCGTCATACCAATTACAATTATTTTTTAAAGTACTTTACTAGGTAAAAACGACTATCCTACTTTAAAGGATTATTACTACATACTGTTAGAATAACTTCAAAACAGATTACTAGCTTTATCAGGTAAAATTATTGTAAGGATTTTGAAATTGCATAGACATCAGGAAAAGAATGCAATAATTGTTTGCATTAATGTTTTAATTGAATAGAAATTTGACTCTAAATGACATTATGGCTAGAATTTTCCAAGGTAGTTATGAACCTTTAACACTTGAATTCATTTATGCATCGTCATGATAAAACTAGATTTAGTTGTGTATTTATATTGGTCAGCAAGTTCAGTTTGGAATTTCAAACGTTACCTTTCGCCATGACTCTTACTTTATCATCGATTGACGTCGGCATTGCCTCCGATATTGTTTATCCTACAGATAGTGTTTTAAGCTTACTTTAGAACTCCGAGAATAGACCTTTATTAAATTGCACATCCTCCCTGACCTATAATTTCTAGTAATAAATAAACCACGTATTGAAAATGCTGTAATTTTTAAAAGAATTAATCGCATTGCCATCATTATTTAAAGGGATGCTGAATGCAAGACTAATAGAGGGTGTGTTAAATTTACTTTTGACGGTATAATTTTACTAACCCTTTGGTTGTTAGTTTCAATCATGTATTACACTATTTATAAATTGTCGCAAATGAAGAGTCCTGCCTTTCGACAAGGACTGCACAGTGAGTAAAGTAAACAAGTAATCAACAGTAGCCACTTCGGATATATACGTATAGTAATATTTCTAAACCCTTGCGATACTACAGCGCTTACTGTATGTAGTACTGCTCTAAATTCAAACCCGTCCTTATTCTAAATATCAAAGTCTTTACTTCAGCTATTTATTTTTTACTGAAGGCACTTAATTTTACGGATGACGTTATTTCTTGTTCGATGCTATCTGAGAAGATAGACAGAGTAGAAGAGGAATCGGTAGCTTCTGGAGAAGATGAACACAACAAATTAAATACATGGGAAGCTTTAAATTCTTCAATATGGTTGTACTAAGGAAGGGGGAGTGTCACGTTCTGTAATAGTTACATAATTAGTATGTTACCTTCTTTCTATATATGGTTAAATATCACGATGTTATCACGTCAGGCGTATGTAGATGTAGTTATGGTACTATATTAAGGTTATCTATATATGTATTCTCATGTTGCCATACTTGGCATGATAGTCTATTTGTAATGACTAAACTAGGGAAACCTTTCTGTTAGTGATGATCTTGTGAGCTACGTCAGTAGATCAAAGTTCACAATAAAGAAAGTATATAAACTCTTCATTTTAACAATAAAGTTAGTTCTTCAACTTAATTACTGGGTCTCCTTGCTGAGTGCAGATCTAGTACTTGTTATAAAATTTGGAAGTTGTAACAATTGGTGGCAGCGGTGGGATACATTAAGACCGTCTGCATTTACTCCAGCAGATAAATCTAGCGTAGACTCCTTACTGAAATTACATGCTAAAAAAATGATGTTCTCACTCTTAGCCCCATCATGTTTTCTATAAGTGAACATAGAATGAATTCCTCATCTCTCTAGAATCATTTGGTAGCTCAAATTGATCATCCACGTAAGCTATGTCGCTTAAAGTGAACGAACGAAAACGAGGAACTTTATCAATGTTAGATAGTCCCTAGATTCACCATCACCGAACTCAAAATTGGAATCGTTATAGTGATGCAAATATCCAAAAAGTGATTTAGTATAGCACATTGCATCAATAGTAAAAGTGTTCCTTTCCATCGCGATCGTACTAGTCACACTTTACCTTCACTTTATTAGATTAAACCTCTTTTAGTGTTCCATGGATTAAACCTGCTATTCTAGGTCATATCTTCTCTATTACATACTCCGAAATACACTATTACCATAACATTAATTGGATGAAATCGTGACTTGTCTTTAGTAATCTACAAAAATTACTGATCTATGCATAAAATAATCCCATTTAAATTCGCATAACAAATTGAATGACAGATATTACAATTCTTTCTTGCGAAAGGAACACCGCGATAGAATACAAATTTATATTCGTTATTTTAATGATGATTTCTAAAGTAGCAAATTATTGCTAAATTCTACAGCTTTAATGACTTTGCAAATATTACCAAAGTTGCCCGTCTTTCTAAACTACAATACCTCAAGATACACAGATTCGCAGTGAGCATTCAAAGGTTCTTGGCAATGGCTTCGGCTTTAGTCTATAATTTCGACATTCTATTTCGCCTGCAGGTCAACGATACTTTCGTAGTAATGATCATTAGACTGAACACCCGGCTCATCATATCCTTCGTCAGTACCTAGATCGCTGGAGTCTATTTTCCCATCTTCGATGAATTTGGTATCAGCGAGATTAGTTTCGTCCTTATCTATTCCAATATGACTAGCATATGGGCAGCTATCATCATGGTGAAAAGTTTCTCTTTCAGAAGCATCAAGTAGCTTTTGATGGTTAATAGATCCGTTTCGAGGATATTTATTATCATTCCTATCGCAATACCTAATACAGGTATTTTCATTTTCAATAGAAGTAGAAGTTGATCTGATTATCTCTTCTTTGTGAACTTTATCATTATTATCATATGTTTATTAAACTATCGCCCTAAAGCGTACTTGACAACTCTGGTTAGTCGAACTCATGCTCGTGATATCAGGCGTACTTCTTCATTTAGCAACGCGTCAAAGTATTGACGTATTATTTGATGTTTTGGGAAAGGAAAAGATCATAAGCATAAATTTATCCATTTCTGTATATCAGTTAGCGTGAGACTGTATCGTATGGATTCATTTCTTCAACCAACCGCAGGCTTTACTCCCTGTTACCATTAGCAAGGTTAGATAATATTCTTATTATCGTCGCAATTGATCCTATTTTGATACGGCATCTTTCATTCCAATCATCGGCTTGCAATAATATCAGTTAACATAAAATTAGCGCTATTGCGTTAATAGTAATACACAATAGCGATACACTTACGGCAAGTCTCGAAACGAGACATAAGACCAGTTTTTATAAATGGAGCAGAAAGCTATACAGTTTCTAATTGGCTGCAGATAATCATTAACTTTACAAACTACTTCATTAAAGTGATTTTTTAAAGAGCAACTGTTGTCATTAAAACTCAGAGCTTAGTCCGGGCTCATAAACAAGATTAGTGAAATCGATAATAGTCATTGAACTCATAAACTGCTGGATTAAAGTTAATGTAAAAGGGCTATTGCAGTGATTGAAAGGCGTGGTGTTGTTTTGGACCACTCAAAATATAAGTGGTGCATGGTCTTGCCCTGATTCAAAAGCACAGATTGATGACATCATTAAATCAATCAAACGTTGCATAGCTCTAAATATATTTATGAAACGCTGTTACTATCTGTCTGACTATTACGCTTGTCGACATAATATTTCCACAAAAGATAGCGCCGCCATCATAAAGTTTCACGCCTAACTCAGAATGATTGAAAGACCATTTATTTATAACGAAAATCTCTGCAAAGAAAATTGCTTTCCAGCAAACACCATCTCACATGAGGTGGTATACGTATGCAGTAGGCTTATAGGCATACGTTAATGACACATGATAATCTGCCAAGTCTTCCACAGTGTGTGGTCATATTTTTCACATATGAAGGACCGTTATACCATCAGTCGTTATTGATAATCCTGATAATTAATAGTTTTTTGAGGTAATCACAAATGTATACTTATTTGGTAGATAAAAGGTAATTTTCACTATAATTGGTATTGATGTAACGCGGTGTGGGTAGCATACACGTATATGAATAAAGCGCAGTGAATTTTACAAGCAGTCAGACTACATTCGCACTCAAAAATATCTTGCTAACAACTTTAGTACAACCGCACGACGGCAATCAATACATGGTAATACCAAAGTATAAAATAAAATCCTAAAAGTTGATCTACGGGATCGATTTATTGTTTCTAATACAAAGTGGGGGATATTATAGTCCATTATAAATTTGATGCGAGCTTGGTTGCTGCAGGACCTTCTTGATCGCTGTAATAGAATAATCAATATCGCTTAACAAACAAGCGCAAAAAGCACAGATAAATTTCTAAATAGACAATATTACATTACGACATAAAATGCATCAAATCATAGCTAGTTGAAGTGAGAGTTGTTCACCTTCTTTATCCGCTGTCGTAAATTCACGATCTTTTGGGAAGTCTACATCAAATGTTATATACATTGATCCTTTGATATTGTTATTTTCGTAATTTGGCATTCCCTCATTTTTTAAACGCATTCGCATTCCAGGCCACGTCACAGACTCTCGTTTCACTTGAACCTGGAAAGTGTTTATGCACAGTTTATATCACCTTAGTAAGTTTATTATATCTGCAATAAGAAACAGGATATGAATCTTCATTTATAATTTAAAGTCCTACCTTATGATTGTCAAGATGATCGATATTCATCGTGAAACCATTTAAGGCGTCCAATAGCGAAATGGTGATATTAGTGTATAAATCATCTCCGATACGTCGAAATTTCTTATGCCTTAATTCAATATTCATTTGTTAATAATAATTTATGGCAACGAGACAGTACGCAAATTCAGGTAAAAATTTCGTCCTGTTGTACCTCATTTCACGAATACGGAACTTGAGATCTCCAGGTTCTCCATCAATATGAGGTTCACCTTTACCACGAAATTATCATTGCTTAGTTAAATACCGTGATAATTATCAACATAACTTGCAATGTAGGATTGAAATCAAGCAGCTGTTGTATTACATAGATAATGTAAATTTTCTATAACGTTGAATTACCTTCCCCTATAAACGGATATTCATGGCCGTCTCGCATGCCTACTTCGACTTCTACTTCCAATACCTTATCTTCAGTTACAAATCTAAAAAATAGTTAAACCGACCGTTATAACAAAAGGTACAGACACATATGCACACCTAAGATAATGATTGTAACTCACTTTACGTTAGGACATTCATCGCAAACTTCTTGATTAATCATCTGTTACCGGAAAACCAAAATTAAGTCAGTTATTTTGATTGTATTACTTGACCAAATTACACACAATGGCATTATTCTATACCTGAAATTGACCAGGCCCTAACGGGATAGTTTTCATTTCCTGTCGGCAGTTGCATCTTCTCTTACCCGATGCTGGCTTAGCCACTGGCTTAGTACGGATAATCTATTGATGAAAATTATTTGGCTAGATGAAACTGAAGATCCACTAGTTTAATACTACAACAGTAAAAAACGTGGTCTGATGCTATCAATAACTTTATGATAAAGATCAAACCTCGATAAAATCGCCATTATATAACTCTTCCAATGTGACATATAAATCCATAGTTAATGTACCACCTCGAGGGATTTCGCGATTTCCTTGCTGATTGTTGCCAAAATGAAAACCGCCGAATCCATCGAAACCACCAAAAAAGCTACAAAATAAAGATTGTTTAATAAATGGTGTTACCATATTCACATATAATGATTACCGGGTAATACTTGTGGTTAGGTTTATTGACAAGTGTGCTTGCTTCTAATGTTTCGCATACCTAGAAAAAGGATCTCCGCCACCTTGGCCTAAATTCTGTAAGCCTTCTTCTCCACTTCTATCATAAGTTTTTCGTTTTTCTTCATCGGATAAAACCTAATGAAAATTAGATATATGATAAGATACGAAGAAAACAAGAACTATCCAACTACTACATAGAAAGTGGGATAATTAATGTCATCCAAAGGTTGATGGTCCAACCTCGTACGCAGCATTGATATCTTGAAATTTATCCTGAGCTTTCGGATCATCCTTGTTCTTATCAGGATGATACTTTATTGCTAATTTTCGATATGCTTTCTTGACTTGCTTTAAAGTCGCATCGCGATCAACTCCTAAAATTTTATAGAAATCTCGCCTGCAAGTAACACAGTCATGTTAATTTTCTCTAATTTGCACATGGCTACCAAAGTGGAACCTCAAATCATAAAATGTCTTACCCAGCTAAAATTGGCAAGATGTATGACGCTATAAATATCAGTATAACCAATTTGTGTATCTGAATCATGATGGATTCTCTACCAGTTCTATATCTATTTGCGGGGTAAGATTGTAAAAAATGTGAGATTTTTCGATTAAAACAAGTCATTGGTTAGGTCACGGTAGTTGTAAAATTTATTTTTTTGTGAGCTAAAGCAAAGATAGATCGAATCTGGACTACTACATTTATAAGCTATCCATTGAAGTATTTTAGTGTTTTGCTTCATTCATTAATGATTGTAATTACAGAATTATAGTACAGAGAGATATTACATGTATCATGCAGATTTTATAAAGAGCTATTGACGGTAAACTGGAAGAAGAAAATTTAAATGGATAAATGTCCGTATCAAAATAGGATTCATTCCTACGTTGATGTTTTAATCCATTCAGTCCATATTTTCAAATATGTATAATTCGAGGCTGTATGGAGTCTTGAAGATTTCGGTTTTGCTAATACGTATTATATATAGCTTTATGGGAATGATACCGGAATTGAAAGACAATAAAATGACTAAACACGCCAAAAATCACTTATAATTCAATCTACAACTAACGTAATATAAGACTACCGTACACAAGCCACTGAAGATTGAAGAGGTGATCTCTAGACCGTTTTATTAAGCTATTCCTCTAGTTTTATGAAGAAAATTACTTATTAACGCAATCTAAGAATGCAGCAGCGACCAAAGTGTTCATAGGCACTGAAAATTGGAGAGCTGATTTCTATGCATTCTATCTTAAGCTATTTCTACAGGTTTTATATGAAATAAAGTCCATTGCACTATGAAGGTCAACCAAGCAGACATTGCAAATTGGAAGGTTGATTCCTATACCTTCCATTTGCAGCTATCTTTAAAGGTACTAAGTAAACCATCGACTAATGGAATAGGAGGATGTAGTAGGCATTACAGATTGGAGAGTTGCTTTTTATACCTTTCATCTCAAGCTATTGCCACAAGCTTATTTTGAAATAACAACTAAGGCAATATGGGAATACATCGGCCTATCAAGAGTTCATTTGTGCATAGACCGTGTACATTAAGCGATAGATAAATGATTCCTTTTCAATTTCTGCCCCATGAAATATCTGGGGAATAGACGAGCAATAGAGATAACCAATCTAAGTAACGACTACAGTATTGCTAATGTTTCATTTAGATATGACAATCAATGCTAGATGAGCCAATAATGATCGCAGACATGATGTGTCCATTTGTCAAGCGTCTATTCAAGCTATACTTTGTAGGCCAATAGAAGTTCATTTATGCTGACTGGGAGATATTGATTATCGATAAATTGCAGCAGCTGTAGTCACATCACTTTATGACATCGATAATACTTCAAAATCATCTCCAAATAGGCCTCTAGTCAGTGTAATCGGGTAGAATATTGCTCGGTTGCTATCATGATCAGTAATACTGTAGTTCGTCTTGTAAGCTCTATCACCTCGAGAATGGGGACTTGGATTATGATCGTACACGTTACCAGGTCAACTGATACCTAGATCGTCATCAACAGACATGTCATCCACCGGATCAAAAATGTCAAGCCAATTTGGATATCATAGTACATTGCAAAAATCAACATTGGATGCTAATGTCATTGAGAATAGAGATAGACTCTCGTTTATAACTAGGCTAGGTTACCTGGTGCTGAAAATATTCAATCATTAGCACAAATTGACACCATTGTCATCCTACAATATTATCCACTGCGATTTGAATATTGCCATTTCCCTTACCTGTAGTAATGGAGATTCCAATTTCGATTTCAGCAAAGGCAGAATATCACTCCTTGATTCTACGACACTCTTCAACGCTGGATCCAGTCGTTCCACACCGAATCGAACGGAGTTATATGGCAATATTCAGTCGTCGTCTCCAAGACACTGCAACTCTTCTTGCCTTTGGTTGATAATTTCCTCTCGTAGAATGTGCTGCTACGTAGAAGTTTTTACCTTTTAAGCCAATGACTGGCAAAAGTCATACGCAACGAATGACTCCATTAGGTCATGCAGTATGGACTTGAGGGAATGATTGAGCGAGTAGTACAGTATGTCTATTCCGATTATGAGAGGACATTACTCAAATGGCTTCATGTTACCCTACAGTACTACGCACTGAAGAAGAGATACTCTCGTATGCTTTCTTACAGTACTGTGCTGGGTTGGACACAGTACCTTGCACTGTAGTCAGCCAACTATCCTAGGAGAAGATGTTCTAGCCAATCAGAACACTACACGTGAAATGTAAATGAGTTCACCAAGTCACCCACAGGCAAGTCAGTCACCTTCATCACCACGTATGGTATTACTGTCCTGTACACTGCATTACCTACCCGGTATGACCAATTGAACAATGGCCATGTCAGCAGAGGCTGCCTACATTAGCTTGCACTTGCATAGAGAATGGCGAAGGACTGAGCAAAGTGAGAGTACTAAGCGAGTGGCAAATCACCAATGTAATAAGCATATACTGTACAGTATATCATGATATTGGTTGGTTAGAATCAACTGGTATTGATAGTTTGGAAGGGGCATGGTACCGATCATCAATAGGGCTGAAATGTCAGAGCCGGACATTTTTACAGGTCATTTCACTCTAGCGTTTAGGCTATTGTACTGTAAACATGAGTCTACAGTACTGTACTGTACAGTACTGTACTATACAGTATGAATACTGTAAGTGACTTACAGTACTGTACTTCTTTATAACAAGCACTGTACAGTACAGTACACTGGAGTTGTATGAGACGCCGTTTTCCGACTCCAAATCTGAACCGAAAATTGAAAAATCCAAAATTGGATTCGGATGACTCACAGTTGACAGTCTAAAAAGTTCTTACAGTACTGACAGTGCTGTGATCCTTCATGATGATTACAAGACTATAGCTGCAGCTGTTATACAGTACAAATACAAACAAATCTGATCGCAATATTTCCCCCCAAAATCGGATTCAGTTTATGGTCTAAATGGACAACATTTTCACTGCTGTCATCATTAACCCTTTCAAGTCGCGCAGCCGCTATCGCAGTTGCTCTTCGACTTCTTGTTGCCGTATGGAAACAATACAGTTTATACGATAAGCATTTAATATGTAATTAATGTTGGTCACAGCCTCACAGGAGCTGCAAGTGTTATGCTGTCCTGCGCAGTACTGGACAGTGGAGTGTACATTGTACACTTGGTTATGATACTGTACTGTACCACTTCACAGATGAGGCTGAAAAGGTCTGTCCGTCCAAGAGTGATCAGTTCAGGTCTTCTTTAGATGCAACTGTGATACTGTCCTGCGCAGTCCTGGACAGCGTAGTGTAGTGTGCAATACAGGACACCTGGTCATCGTACTGTACTGTACTGTACCACTTTACAGAAATGAGGCCGAAAAGGTCTGTCCGTCCAAGAGTGATCTGTTCAGGTCTTCTTTGACAAGTTTACAGTACGGTACAGACCGTACAGTACTCTACGGGTACTACAGTACTTTATACTGTACTGTACTGAACTGTACTGTACTGTACTGTACAACACGAGTACGCGCACTCTGACCGCGTGGCCAATGGAGATAGCGATCAAGTAGAACTGAGCATGTTCCGCATAGCTAGCGTTTCAAACAGTACCCTCTCTACTGGCAACACAAACGCGAGGCTAGTCATAAAGACTGCAAATCCCTGGATTGGAAATGGCGGACAATAAAGACCAATCACCTGGTAAGTTATTGATCGCTGTTAGGCTCTAAATACGACAAGTTATGGCATATTATCCTGATTTTGTTCTTGAAATATCAATAGTATTGATCGTGGAGATGCTCCATTTCCATTTACAGTTCATATTCTGTACAGAAGTACGTCAGTAAGGACAACACTTCATCAGCGATACTTTGCTCGCTTGTTCATCATAACTGAATGATTGACTTGACATTCATTTCGATCTTGTATCCAAATTGAACACGATTGAAGTTATAGCATGTAGCTTTCAATCAATTTAGTCATAACAAGACGTAGTATCGCCAGTATAAGGAGCATTGGATGTCCAAAAAATAAATTGTAGCATATCATCTAGCTTGGTGTTTCTTGCGCTTGAGACGGATGTTGATTGTATGACAAGATTGCTAGGGGTACAGTCAATGACGATGATGATACTTGATTAAAAATAATAATTTTCATATAGTGGTGGACAAAGATAGTGACAAGCTTGAACAAGAAGCGACTCCATCGTCTGGACAAAGCAAAGATGACGATGGTAATAAACATGCATCCCGAGCGCCGAGGAGGAGTTCTTCTCGATCGATTAAACGTAAAAAGTTTGATGATGAATTGGTTGAAAGTAGCCTAAAAAAGACTGCTAAGAAAATCGCCTCAGCCAATGAAATAGCTGCAATACCTCAAGTTGTGATCAAAGATAAAAAGGTACTGATCGTCTCTATTAATAATAATATTCACGATCCTATTGCACCATGCAGGTCCCATAGTAGCGATACGATAATAAACGAAATTAGCGAATGATGAAAATATACATCATAATTAACTTGATATCTTTTATAGGTTAGCAAACCTGCTGGCAAAAAGCAACGAAAAGGAAGGGTAATCATGCTTGCGATAACAAATAAGGCTCAATCATCATCTCCATATTGATACTACTGACAACAAATCATTAATCAATGTTTATAGCAATCCAAAGCAATGAAAAACTTAGGCAGATGGAAACCAGCCGATGATTTGGCTCTGATTAGTGCTGTACAGCAGGTTAACCTTAAAAAATGTCCAGTCTTCTAGAAAATGCCTACAAGTCGTTTAAGTGCATCCTACTGTTGCATAGAAATAAATAGTTTTAACTTTGATCTTCCTATTTTATCTAGACCAATGATTTAGCAGCGGTACATTTAGCTGTCAAATTTTCTTGTCGATTTACATTAAGAGACATCGAGGAGCGATGGTATTCGCTATTATATGATCCAGTCATTTCAAAGTACGCCTAATGTTGAACACAATCGTCTATTTGTAATCTTACCTTGACAAATGGTCATTAATGGACATATGTACCATATCCAGTTTTTCTTACAGTCCAAATTTTTTGAACAGGTTGGCTATTTCCGCTATTAAACCTTTACATCCAGATACTATTGCTGCTGCTCAAAATAATGCCTTATGGAGCAAAGAAGAACAACAACTACTGGGTGGCATAACATCGGTATATTAACTAGCTTTTCACGCGTTGTGTCTTGGTCGCATAATGGATGCTTATGTAGCCACTCGTACTAACACCATGTTTGTATTATGTAGGTTAATTCACCATCATTAGATGTCTTTAAGCAAATGTTAATGGACAATGCAGATACATTTCATACTAGCCGAACACCCAAAACTTTATATAATCATTGGTTGTTGATGAGGCAGTATCGCCTTTTGCCTGATCAGTTAGGTGAATAAGCTCTTATTTACTCCTATGAAATAGTCAAAGTTAGAACGAGACTTATAAGTACTTAATGAGAAGGAGGGACAAGCAACTGATACTGTAATATGTTTCTTTCATAGTTGAACTCTCTGGTAAACGCGAAACAATATCATTTTCTGATGTGGAAAGGGAACTTGATGATGAGGAGCTGACGTAAGTAGAAGGTCCATTTTTATTTGGCCGCTAAACTAATTCAATGTGCATGATATTAATTTATCTCATTGTTACTCAACAGTGAAAATCGTGATGAAATTTTAGATAACGGTTTGTTTTGGATTATTTCTAATGTCTCTTGATAGTCCTGCTTCATGATAGGACATTTTAATTAAACATGTACTATTTTTACTAATGTATAGAAATAGCCATAGCCCATCGAAAAAGCAAATTACAAATTAAAAAATTAGAAACGGAATTGCCAAAATGGCAAGAAATACTAGACAAGATCTATGACGATGGTAAACGACTACTTCTTTAATGCGTATTACATTTAATTGCTAAGTGTCTTTAGTAATAGTCTTAACGTAATGCCTCCTAGATACGCCAACATTCGATTTCGATAGCGATACACTAGCTGTTTTACGAGGACGTTTGGTTCGCTATTTTATTCGAAAGAAAGAGGTAATTTCTATTAGCATATTTACGCAATGAAATAATAACTCAACTTTCTAACATGTGCTATATCAATAAATAGGTGACATTTGGACGTGCTGCTACCGATGGCGATATTGACATAGATTTATCCATTGAAGGACCTGCTTGGAAAGTATCTAGGCTACACGGCTACATAAAATTAAAGCCAGATGGCACTTTCCATGTCAAAAATGAAGGCAGAAGGCCGGTCTATATTGATGGCAAGCCTGTAACAACTGGTTCACGTTCAACGCTTCCAAACAATTGTACATTCGAGGTAAATATTGTTCAAACCAAACAATATTGCTGTATAAAAAATTTATTTATCGATTCGCCGGAAATCATAGGTACCGTGATTAACTCGATAATTAATGTATCATTACTGTTATTAGGTATGCGGCTTGAAATTTATTTTCTTAATCAGTAAAACGACTGTAGCGAAGGCATGTAATGACCCTGGGCAGTAGTCGTTACTACCCAATAGCAGCTTCTTGTGGAGGCATTTGTGTCGCAAAGTCAGTGGTGTATTTGCGGTGAATTACAAGCAGTTATTAGTCCCTTGTCAGAAAGTTAAAAAGTCCCTTCATAAAATCTAATCGATTCAATCTGGTCCTAGTGTTCTATTTGGAAGAAACTTTTAGTTAATATTAGCTTTCTTTTCAATGATTCGTTCGACGATTGTTATGTATAGTGGATAGTTCCGTAGTGGAATTGCATTCACGCCGAAACACTTTAATCGAAGCTCTTTTCCTGTTCCAATGATGAGGAATAAGTGGTTCCCTGATTGAGAATGTGAGATATTATTTATTTGTTCGACAAATAGAGTATTTATGCATTTAAGTTTAGCTGATTCCAAGTTATAAATATTCAAATGACGAAATTGTAAATATTATGAAATCTTTGCCAATGTATATTTGAATTGTATTAGCCGTATAACTTTATACCTGAATTCCTTCTTACCTGACTTACGTATTGTCATTAACTCAAAGGGTTCAAAAAGAAAAGTTTATATAAAGATGATCGTCTTTCAATGTTCCGTCTCAATGCTTATCACTGTTACGGTACTTTCTGTATTTTACTGGAGAAAGATAGTCACTATTGTATTATTCCAAATTTTCTTAAATTCTATAATGCTCATTACTGCTTTTGTACGGTATACATTTTAGCTGTAATGTGCGATAGATGCAATCTAAAATAAGCACAATCAAGCTCCAATAATTATAATTAATCTGTATATACTTATGATAATAAAACTGAAGCTCATTTTCGAATGCTAAACCATTAAATCGGCCTAACTTGAAGAGATAATTAGGCCTCTTGTCCTCGAAATATTTAAAGGATTATTCTCTAGTTATATGTTGGCGTTCTCCAATTAAACAGCTATTGATACAAATGAAGTCATGTCATTGAAGAATAAATAAATCGTTTTCCTCATAAAAAGAACGAGTACAGTATCAGGGCTAAAACTGTGTAGATACTATAGCGAATTTAGACTCTCCTAGTACAGCCGTTTTAATCATTAGGTTGCTTTATTCGCATAAATAAGTTTGATGATATTAATCAGAAGTCTCAATAAATACATTGAAGTATTTCTAGTTCGATGAGGGACGAATATAGTACGAAACCGTAGAGAATGATTCAGATTAAATCGATCTTTCTTATTCACTCTGACAAAAATCCCATCCACAAGTATAGCTTAAAGCTAAATAATATTATTAACCGATTTTATACCATGTAACGATAAATTTACGTTTACTGACAGTATTATTGAAACTACATCTAGGCTATATCTAGATAAGCTAAAATTAAATTTGTTCATCTTTCATTTAAAGAGGCCTGTATACGGTACTTGTTACTAATAATAGATTAGAAGTTATATATAGTCGTAGATATACAAATAAATATTTGATAGAGTCGCATTGTAGAGATAAGAATACAATTTAACGTGCAAGAAAGTGCATGTTAGTTATTTATTAAAATTAACTAAAAATAGTAGCAAAAATGAAATCATTTCGCATTCAATAGTTACAATGAAATATTGGTAGCAACCTAAGCAGCAAGCCTATATGATGATCCGATCGTAAATAGATAATTAAAATAGATTTAGCAGTCTTACTCTAAAATCATCATCAAGAACACTTCAGTTCAAGTTTCATGAGAAGTTGTGCAAAATTATGCACTATTAGTGTATGCTGTATCAGATTGACTTACTACCTTATACGATATTGTTTAAGTTAGGATATGTTGTTCATTTTCGCTTTAAAATTACTTTCTAAGTCAAATATTGATCACCTTATCCTATTTGTAATACAAAAATTAAGAGTATGATCTGATTAATTACAATGCTAAGAGATATGTTTCTTCAGATCAAATCAATTCAAGTAGTTTAATTCTTTACTTTAAACGTGTAATAAGGCAGTCTACATCGATTATAGTCTCTTCATTTTGTGCAAGCAATAGATTGAAGATATGTTTTATATCGTTGCGACACAATAGTAATTATACAATTAAAACTAGTATAAATTGTACAATAAATTTTAGTTAATTTATTGATGAATCAAAATTTATTTTATAACCTAAGACAAATGTACGCTAAGTCTAATTTATTTCTGATATAGTAGATAAACATTTTATTTTAAATTTTAATATTGATAAAGGATCATATAATTGATCACTTCTTCATTAAATTTTTAATGCATTTTTACTATTAATTACCTTTTTGCTTATTTAAGATCGCGTAAACAATCTACCGAAAATAAAATGATCTCTTTTGATTTGCATCAATTGGTTAATTAGATTACCATTCTTGACATCCGAACAAATTTTTCGTCACAGTTGTAGCAACTTTATTCTGCTAACAAACTCTAAATTGTAACAAATTACATAACTAAATTTGAAAATTAAATCACTGTTTAATGCTAATGAGAGACAAAGTTTTTCCTGTCATATGTGGCATCTGGTACGGATCAGCAAAATTTTTTACATAGTAAACAAGTAAAGCCTATTGTCAATGAGATGTTATAGTAATATCAATGCCGAGGCTTATTTTAATAAAGGCCCAAGGTCTTTTCCAACTCCGTTTTATTTTAATCTCTAGCATAGATATCAGAATAATCATCGTTCTGATAATTAGTTAAAATAAAATAATCAAGAGAGAACACTGTCAATTTATATATTTTACCTGTTTTTTTTTTTGTATTTATTTAAATCACATACCATCAATATCGAAGCAATTATTATTTTGATAAATTAACAACGTAATCAGTTTATAGATTGGCTATCGTATTCAACTTTTATTAAATATCGAAATATTCCTTGACATAAGCAATAAAGCGAACCTGCAATCATTCATCCAAGCTACTGACCGATTTACTGCTACTAGATGGCATATTTTTAGATCAATGATTTTCTATTTTAAACTATCTTTTTATATCTAGCGTATAGGTAATTCTGTAGTAATGTTTACAGGTTAGACATAATATTCACTATTTATTTAAATAAATATCGAAGTTGTCCCCAAAAAAGCGGCAAAATGAATCTGCAGACATTCATTCAAGCTATTGACAGATTTACTAGATGGCATATTTCCGGATCCTTGATTTTCAATATTTTCACATTTAGCTCGATGAATCAAACATTCTACTTCGTAAGTAAGCAAGTTTGTGAAGTGTCATGATATTTTTAAGCTGGGTCACGCGAAGAAAAATTTATTGTCTTACAAAGTTGAATAATAGTCAATTTCATACCATTTGAAGACATTTCAATTTGGAGTACTCTAATCTTGAGCTATACTCATTTAATCTACATATCAGCGTAATGATAATAAAGTCATAACATCTAGTTTGTTAATTAATTCATTTATGCGACATAAATATGCTCTGTGCATAGTTAAGTACTTAATAAGCTGTTTTAATATTTTAGCCCTTATAGTTGTTAGATTGATGTTGATAATCTAACGCCTCATTAATTAATATACTCTAGGAGGTATTCTTGAGCGATTACTGGTAAGACTGCTAAATAATTTATTCATTTGTTAATTAAGGATAATCTCCGTATCAGGAAATCATTCATGGTATAGTTTAGTGATGAAGTAGTTGAATAGTATTAAATTTAACTGTAGTTATGGTTCTAGCCAACTAAAGTAAAATTGCACCCGTTAGTCAGAAAGTTATCCATAGGAAAAAGGTAAAGTAACGCCAACACAAGTAATGCAAAAACAAGCATTAGAAGGATACTTCTATTAATAGCCAGTTAAAAGTGGATTTGATAGGTCAATGAAGGAAAAAGTACAATCTTTTCCCATTATTTTCTTGCATCACAATCTCAGTTGTAATAACTACAAATTTCAAAGAATTTGCAAATATAATAGAATAATCAAAATGCAGAATATTTTCTTGAACCCTAGAGGTTCCATACTTAGTAGCTTTTGCTACACTCCTTAATATAAGGATAACGTTGTTAAAAAATGATTGCATCTTTACTAAGGAATGTCTTCAGTATGCGTAGGGTAGCAAATTACTCGCATTACACTGATTTATAATATAGAATTACGAATGCAAAGTGTTATTGGAGAAAGATATGTGAACGTAATAGTTAGGTAGGAATTATTATCGGTACGATTATAGTTTTTGCTGTGGAAATAATAATCTGGGACTCTCGAAGTCTATCGGTTGTATATCTGGTTGCTACAATAATTTTGTCACATTTACAAAATTGTATCATAAATTTTTATCACAGGTGGAGAATGTTATTATTTAGCAAACTCTAGTACCTGTGAGTCAGAAAACAATGTAAAGGAGAACAGTTCTATCTAAAGCATGTAAGAAAATTATTCATATGGCAAATTTTTGTTTCAGAAACAACATAGCATTGCTTAAAAGCCAGAACTTGTGGCATTTAAAATCTCAGAAATTTACTTGAGCTAATTTATAGATTAATACGAAGATTTATGTAATATTTTTGTGAAGCAGCTGGTTTACTGTTGAGAGACCTGCAAATGAATCATGACTACTAAGTAATATTAATCCTAATTTAAGTATAAAAGAGTAGCTGGTTAAAGATGCGCGCCAAAAAGAGTATTTGTAAGTAGTTTGGAATGATTGTAATTGGTAATAGACAGGTCTTTGCTGCAAAAATTGATAAAGTAGAAATATTCAGACATATAAAGGCTACCAACTCGATTTATCTTTCATAATTAAAATAATTTCTGCTGTATGTATGGTATTTTTTAATAACATGACAGTACAGGCACGAAATATCATTATTCAGCAAAATATTACTTATTTCGAATAAGCTATCGTGACAATTTAAAGACGAATAATTAATTTACGTCAGAAAATTGAACAATGTAGTTGTTTCTGCTGCAGAAATAAGAATGAACGGCTTAGATGCTTGAAACGAGAACAAGTATGATCTTAGCAATTTTCTAGAACTAACCTACAATGCAGCTTTCAGGAAATAGAACAAT